GGCTGCCCTGAAGCCCTGCCCAGGCTGGGAGGGAGCAGAGCTGGTACCAGTTTTGTGACTGGTTAGTTTAGTTGCAGGGCTGCACATTGACATGCTCACAAGCTGCAAGGCATGCTGTCCCCTCACAGTTTAGTAATATCTATAGCACCATTATAGATCTATCTATAGTATGGGCCAGTGAGACGAGAATGTTGTGTCTTCAGGTCTTGTGACACTGACACTTCTGCCAGGCTTGGTACAGCTTTTCTTGCTGGCTAGTGGATAAGAAACTTGTTGATTGCTGTGGAGAGGGAAAGCAGCCTGGAAGTGGAAAGGCAGTTCTGTGCTGCATGCTGGGCTGTCTTGTCATGTGGTGGGATTGGAGGGTAAAAACTTCTGAGGATTAAATGGAGACAGACAAGACCTCTCCTAGGGGCACAGTAAAGCTCTTCTGTAAGTATGATGTGTTCTCTCATTTCTCCCTCCTTTCTGGCATAAGATGTTACTCTGGTGTATCTCTTTTTTTCCTTTCAACCTAATGTGATTCCATTTTATCAATTTACTGCCTGTCTCCTGATTCCCATGGCAACACAACAGGCTGCATTTGTGATTCCTTTGGCAGTTGGGGTGCCTGGCATGTGTCTTGGGAGCAGCAAGATTACAAAAGGGTTCTGCAGGGAGTAGGAAATACATAGGCAACACTCACTAGCTTTTCATGCTAAACTATTTTTCTCTTCCTCTCCCTCCTCCCCTTCAGAAACAAGTTTCCTTTGCCCTTTGTTTCAATTGCCTGGTGATAAGAAATGAGCAACTGCAGTGCTGTGGGAGGTCAGAAGATGTGGAGGGGGTGAGGGGATGTGGATGGCACTTAGACATAGCACAAGGCAGAGCATCTCATCAGGGGTCCTGCAAAGAAGGGTGTTCCTGCTGATGCTGCAGAGCAAGTGCTCTGTTCCTCCTGCTTCAGCTTTCAGAGCTTACTTGAAGGGGGACTCTTGCTCCTCTACTGTGCAAAGCTCTCTTCACCCCTTCCTACAGCAGGCACTTCTGAGAGCTGGTAGAGTCTGTCCCGTTTGTGGGGGGAGTCCTGCTTCCAGGGATTTTGGACACATGGCTTTCATTGGCACAGTAATGAGAGCCATGTGAACAGGCTGAAGCTTCTGTTAAAACCTTTAATCTCTCCAGCTCTTGGCTGATAGGGATTCGTTTGGCTCCTGAAGTACTGGTGCCCTGTCACTGTGGGGTACCCTGCCACTGTGGACTCCTACAACTGATGGGACAAGTTTATAAGAGGGGACCTAAGCACCAGGGCTGCTGTGGCTGTTACGAATGTGTCGTGGGAGCTTTATGAAGGGAAAATAGAGATCTAGAGTTGGATAAGATGTGCATAAGTGGGTGCTGCATGTATGACTGATTTATAAGTTGTTGTTCAGCCCTGAAAGCTGACCTACAGGAAGACCATTTAAACTGAAAAGAATGAGCTGGCCCATGGGCACAATAGGGTTATAAAGTTGGAAAGCCTAAGTGGAAGAGATCCTGCTTTCTGCTTGTTGTGTCTTGGAGCCTGGCCCCTGCGAGAGGGAGGGAGGAGCTGCAGTCCTCTGGCAAGTGAGGCTCGTGTTGGGCAGAGCAGCAGAGGGAGATCCTGCTGGACCAAGGGAGGAAAGAGCTTTCCTCTTTGCTGGCTTCCAGGTGAGCTGCTGAGTAGGATGCCCAATAGTCACCTTCAAAGACTTCCTGTGGCTTCTTGATCAGCATCAGCAGGTAATGGCAGGGTTGGAGTAGAAGATGATCAGTCTGTATTTTGTTGGTTTTGTTTCTCTTGTGAAACTCTCAACTTTGTACCTGAGATCTGTAGCCTCGCTTTGCTGCCAGAGTGTTTTTTGGAACTTGGTGTTCCAAGTTTGGAGCTGGGCGGTCTGACCAGGAGCAACAAATCCAAGTGGTAGAGGCATAGACAAGCTCTTTGGATGTTTTAACAACAGGGCCATAATGAAGGTGAACCTCTGGCAGTGCCTCACTTAAATCCTATTTCTGAATAGTTCACCTCATGCTAAAGAATAATAATCCTTCTGACTGAGCTGCTCTGCTCTGGAGCCTACAATTAGATGGTTTCCCCGAGATGTTACAATTACTGTAGTTGCAGCCCTGCCTGTCAGACTGGCACCTAAAAGCAATGGAGGCTATAAAGTCCCACTAAATTTTGGCTTTTGGGGGAACACAATGTTACACCAAAAGTCTAGTGAACTTTCTTTTTCTTCTTTATTCTGGTCCAAGTCAGTATTTGAAGGTGGTTGCTCTCACGGTGAAATATGTGAGTCTAGACATGGTTTTAAATCCTGCTGCATTGTTTGTTCAGCCTTAGGCAGCCTTCCTGCGTTTCTCTGCTTGAGCTTCACTGCTGAAGGGTTTGCTTATCTAAGCCATATTGCAGAGGTGTTTGTGAACGCTAATGTAACCTGTATCTTGATCCTTAACTAACAGCTGTAATAAGGACGTGTGCTGAAATCAGGCTCCAGTAGGACTAGAAAACTAGCTTTGATCTTGTTGAATACAGATGCAGAGCCCCCCAGTTTCTGTGCTTATAGTGTGGTAAAGTTGAATTTGGCTGTTGTGCTTGGCAAGTTGCACACGTGTGTCACAAGCATGCCAGCAACATGAAATCTGTGTGTTGCGGCACTTTGCTGAGCATGGACCAAGGATGGAAGTTGTGTTTCTAATTTATTCTCATAATCATGGAAGGAGAGAGGTACATATCACAGATGCTGTTGGTGATAAACTACTGTAGCCATCTCTGGTTATTAAACTAAAAGTTTCTTTAATATAACTTGCAGGTTCCTAATCTGGCTTCTTTACTGTCCTGTGCTATTAAACACTAACATGAAAATGGTGGTCTTATTTTCTGCTTATGGTTGCTTTTATGGTTCATATGGATGGAACTCTGTTTCCTCCCCATCTCTTCTTCTTTCAAGTCTTTTGTAAAGATCAAAAGCTCTAAGCATCCTTATAGGTTTTGGGTTTTGCTTTTTAAGGTGGAGCCAGTTCTTGGATGTAATATCCCTCTAATGGACCTCATGTTCTCATACTGTCTTTTACAATACTGGGAGTAACACAGGCTTGAATGTCAGGTATTTGCCAAAAAAAAAAGTTAATGCAGAACATGTGAGGTTGAGGAAACTTTCAGAGTAGGGCCCAAAAGCCAAGAGAAGGTTTCTCCAAGAAGCCACAATCAAACTGGTGCAACTGTGCCATAGAGATCTGTCAAGAGCATTGACTCTGGAGTCTAATGAGAACCAAACTATCAATATTAATTGCTCTTGGTGCTGGTTCAGCAGAAACTAAGTTCTTTATGCTACCACTGAGGCATTGGTGCTCTTTTCTTTCCCTGACATTAGCAAAGCTTTGAGGTATCTTGGTTTGAGAGTTTTTCTGTTCTTCAGGCTTTCTAGAAGCTGAACCTTATCTTTCAGGCCCATTACTTCTGAAAGAGCTGTAGGAATGATGCAGTGGTGTCCGAGTCTGAACAGCTTTCACAGTTCATTTCAGACAAGCACTCGAGTTTGGCTTGTCTCTGCAGCTCTGAGGCTTTCTCTGTCACCCTTCTCCAGTAGGAAAGACAAATCTCTTCCTGGGTGGGCTTTAGGCTGTTCTGGTTGGTGGCACCCAGAAATTTCAGCTTAAAGTTTGATTAAAGAGCCCAGGTCACTTTCATTGAGCACAGGATGTATGGGGCCAAGTCTTGTGCACATACCCCCGCTACACTAGCTGTGGGGAGAAGTACACTTGGGACCTCAGTGCTACCAAGAACTGAGGATGAATGAAGGTCCATGGTATATGACTTGCTGGATTTATTTTTCAAGCTAAATTCTACAGTGTCTTGCGTGGTTTCTTTTAGGGCTTTACTTAACCTCCCCCTTTAACCTTCATAGGGTTTTAATGGATTCCATATGTCCTTGTCTTTAGTTCCCTGGGGCCTAGGCTGAAAGCCCAGTTTGTGATAGTTTGACAGTGGCGTCTACATGAGTTGGGTCCCACTGTCTTGTTTGCTTGGGTTTTCTTTGTTCCACTTCAGATGCCAGTCACATACTTAAGGGCCTTCTTGTGTATTACAATGAGTTTGGCCAATCAAGGGTGTGCTGAAGAGCGAGCAGGACAGTGAATTTCCAGCATCACCTGCAGTTTTCCCTATCTCAGTTCAGGGAAGCATATCTGGAGGTTTGGCTTCAACTTGATGGGCTGATGCTGGAATAAGTGCTCTTTACTGTGGGTTTTATTGAGTTTGGTGCATGGTGTGTCAGCCCTAGCAGATTGTGCGTGCAGGGGTGCGTAGATGCTTCCTGTTTAGAGAGATGCTGTTTATATTGAACATACTCCAGGTGTCTGCTCACTGCTGGGTTCTGCTCCAGCAAAGGGCATAACAGCAGCTGGGAAAACTGAGTAGATTGCAAAGACAGCTGCGTGGTCCCACAGGAGCTATTAGTGCCCTTGGTGGGACTCTAAATGCTCGGCCTGTTTGCCTGTATCCGAATACATGGAGGAGTTGCAGTAGCACCAGGTACTAAAATATCAGTGCCTCATACTTTTCTTGTTTTTCTTATTTATTATTTTTTGGATGACTTTGGCATCTTTCTTCAAAGCAGCAGTTCTTGGTCTTATTTTGATCCTGAAAGACTTAGCACCACTCCTGTCCTTTTAAACTTATTCACTTTAATACTGCCATGCAAAATAGCCTTTGGAGTTGTGGTGGGACTGGGGCATTGCAAAGGGGGATGAAGATGTGGAGTGGGCTCTTTGTGTGCAGAACCTGGGCAGCAGATGGAAATTTCTGTGCAGATTGCTTTCCTGCTGAGGAAGATGTGTAAGTAACGGGGTCACTCTGGTTTTAACCTCCACTCGGTGTTAACCTGCAACCTAAGTTGTTGTCCCAGATGTTTCCTTTCTGTAAATGCCCTTACCTGGTGTTTTGGCTGCCTTTTAGGATTTTCTCCTTATACCAAAACCTCTTTTCCCTTGATTCACAGGCTCACCTTTACACAAGCAGGGTACCACCTCCACCACCAGCGCCGAGAAGTCGGGTTCAAAGGTTGCCGAGGTGGGCGATGATTTCCTGGGAGACTTTGTGGTGGGTGAACGCGTCTGGGTAAATGGAGTGAAGCCAGGTGTGATCCAGTATCTTGGGGAGACACAATTTGCTCCGGGCCAGTGGGCAGGGGTTGTTCTGGATGACCCAGTGGGTAAGAATGACGGCTCTGTCGGTGGAGTGCGGTACTTTGAATGCCAGCCGCTGCAGGGGATCTTTACGCGACCGTCCAAGCTGACGCGGCAGCCGGTGGCCGAGGGCTCGGGGAGCGACGGCCCCTCCGTGGACTCCTTGACGGCTCAGAACTTGTCGCTGCACTCGGGGACAGCTACGCCACCTCTCTCCAGTCGTGTCATCCCCCTGCGGGAGAGCGTCCTCAACAGCGCCATGAAGACGGGCAATGAGTCTGGATCTAACCTCTCGGACAGTGGGTCTGTGAAAAAAGGGGAGAAGGACTTACGGCTTGGAGATCGCGTGCTGGTGAGTTTATGATGGGGCCTCTCTAGAAAGGCAAAGATCAAGGATTTGGCCCTTCCCAAAGTGTACCCAGTCAGGTTCAGGACAAGACAAAAGGAGGACAACTGGTGGTGAAGTGTGGGACAGAGCCTGGCCTTTGAAGGGGGATGCCTGGACCAAGCAGGCTTTGAATTGGATGGGGCTTGGAGCAACCTGCTCTAGTGGAAGGTATCCCTGCCCATGGCAGGGGTTTGGAACTAGATAAGCTTTAAGGTCCTTTCCAACCCAAACCATTCTGTGATTCCACAATTCATTGTTATTTGGGATGCTGTGTCTTCTGGACGTGTCTCTTTCACATGATGCAAGAGAACTGGTCCAGTAGAATAAGTGCTCTGGAATAAGTCCTGACCTCCAGTAGAATGAGGTCAGAGAGAAGGCAACTCAGATGTGAGAGGGAAATAGAAGAAAGATCATTGATGATTATTTAGATACTCTCCATATTGGTGTGTATTGCAGCTTTTGAGTAATTTGTGTATTGTTGCATGTGGTTGTACATACTCTGCTGGTAACTTCCCTTTTGGTGCTTCAGTTTTTATATGTGTTGGATGTGACACTAATTCCTTTCCTGTACAGAAAGCAACTTGCAATTGTTTTTATATAAAGGCAGAACTTTTGGAGAGATTACTGTACTGATGGATGGGTTCCCCATATCTGATTGTTGCTGCTGTTTTCGTTATCTAGAAGAGAGTACCTGATGACTTTAAGCCAAAATACCACACTTAGTACAAGTGTGGCTTACTGGAAGTTTGCCATCAAGCTTAGCATCATTTGTGTCCTAGCAAAGGAGTAGTGATTTCAGTGGAGGTGGAGAAGGAAAAGGAAGCTAACAAAGCATGGGAACTCAAAGCATGAGTTTTGTTCTGCAGCTCTGGAAAAGAGTTTAGTTTTGTTTAGTGTGTGTGATACATACTGTCATATCAAATATTGGAGGAGCCAAGCATTTGAGCACAGATCTGTTGCGATATCCCCAGTAATATCCCTGGATGCAGAGGATGAAGGTGACTGACCACCTGTGATAATGGGTTGCAGAGGGTTAGTCTTTGTACATCCTGGGCCATCTGGCTCCCATTTAAATCAGCTATGTAGTGTTTCCTTTTTGGGGCACTGGGTTCCAATACCAATAATGGTAGCAGGGAAGTGTAGACAGGCTTGCCAACTGTTTATTAACTGGGTTTGGTAGAACTTGGCTCTGCAGCTGATGTGAGTCAGGAGTGTGTGCAGGGGGCTGTCAGAGGAAATCTCGGTGTCCTTTGTGGTCTTATGGTGGGGTTTTTTTGGCTCTGTTCTGTCTCAACCAACCAGGCAATGGAGTAGTGTTCTTCAGAATTCAGGTTTAGCCCTTTTCTTCTCTTGGGGCATGGTCTGTCCACTTAATACTCTGCTTACCTCAGTGGGGCCCACTCAGACTGGGAGTTCAGCATACTCAGGCAATACAAACTGTTAGTATCTCTCCCTTTAGCTTCTGTTGAGTTGGTTTGGGGAGTTTTAGGGGTAATTTTGTTTGTTTGTTTGTAATGTGGGTGCATCCTTAAAAGCCCACCCTCCTGGCCTGCTAATTTATCCACCCCAGGTGTTACAAGATAAAATTTATGCTATCATTTGTTAGTGTAATAAATGGCTCCAAGAGCGAATCTGGAATGAGCTCAGCATCTCACTGTCTCTAGCAGGACTCCTCAGCTTACATTGGGAATTGTTTGCATGCATTAGTAGAGGTCCAGAAAAAGACCAGATAATGACAAGAAGAAGAAATAATTTTGCTGTTAAGTTCAGTAACATGTGCTTGGCTTGGCAGATGGCTTCTTTCAGTAATGGAGATGTCAGCTAACAATGTTTGGTGCTTGAATGCATACATAATAATTCTGGATTAAGCTGAGTTGCCTCAAATACCCTGAGTAAATCTTTGCTCTTGTCCTCTATGGATCGGTACAGGTTTAGTTGTCTTTATTACTCTGTGCTTTTATGAAAGATTTTCTTTTTATTTGAGGATGGCTTTTAGGCAGATGGGATCCAGCAAAGGTTTTCAAGTGAGGGAGGACACGTGTGTTCTGTAACTGCTCAGAGGATGGAGCACAAGGTTGCAAGGGTCCCTTCCAGGTCTGTGAGGCTGTTCTGCATTGTGCTCATTCCCTGCTAGTGGTTTTATTTAACTTCGCTCAAGTCCATTATAGCTTGAAGACAATTTTGCTTTTCAGTGAGTTTGTTCTGAGACCCTTTTTGGCACTAGCAGTTGCAAAAAGTGATTTCTAGCTTTCCATTAGAAGAAGTAGATAGTATTTGCTTTTGGCACTTTCTAACTCAGATTTTCTCCCAGAGATGCAAAAATTTCATTAAAGAGATAAAACCCCCACTCTAATATTGTAGAACTCATCTCTTAAAGTCTGACAAGTGAATGTGGAACAGTTAACCTTTGCTTTAGTAAGAATGGAGCTTCCCAAAGTAAGACAATTGCTGGAGTGCTGCAGTTAATGTGAGGCTGGCTTGTTGCCTTTCTCCAGGGAAAGAAGGGATGGAAACAGAGTGATGGAGCAGTTGAGCATTTTCTGCTTGGGAGGAATCTCTGCTGTGTTTGTTTTTTTTTTCCTAAGAAAATGTATTTTACATGCTTTGGGGAGGCTTTCTAAGCAGAGAAACATTCCATCCTACATGTGATTGCTTTCTTAAGGTGGGAAGGAAGTGGCTGTTCTCTGTATGTCAGTATGAATAAATAATAATAATAACAATCTAATATAGGTATTCTGGCCTTCAGCCTTCATTCTCCTAACTGGGATTGCACTTTTCAGTACTGAATTGTAGTAAAAAACAAGACTCTTTAAGAGCCAGGTTATATCCCAGTGGCTGATTGACTCTTGCTGGGAGGAAGTTGCCCCAGATACCCTTCAGATACATTCCAGTTGTGTGATTTTTGCTATGTCTTGTAGGTGGCCAAAGGCAGAACAGATGCTGAAAGAGCAGCAGCAGCTCTAGTGGGGAGATTCCAATGAAGTGATGCTGGATGGCAGCACTGCTGTGGCAGGCTGGCTGGGCTGGTGAAAACAGACTCTGGGCTCCCTCCTGAGTGTGTGATTTGAATCGCTTTCTCCTCTCTGTGCAGCAGTCTCTTTGCCTGTCCTGTGTTGCAACCGCTGGCTCTTGGCAAGTGAAAATTCTCATGAATAAAGTAGTCATGTTCTTCAGCATTGCCCCTGCCCTAACCCTACTCTGCAGCCTGAAGCTGCAGAAAGCCTTTAACCACCTGAGTGAAAACTCACTGCCATTAGAAGCTCCCTGGTGAGGAGAATTGCAGCCTGAGCCCTTCTTCTTGGGCAGAGACAACTACTTGTGCTGCTGCTGCCAGCTTGCTGTGAGCTATTTCAGTGCCTGAGTCTGAAGCCTTGCTGCTGTGAAGGCGTATGAATGAGGTGTTATGAAGGAAAGATTCGAGCTCTTTCTCAGAGCTTCCTGGGGTTTTAGAGGAGCAGCACTGCTCCTGCATGGGCTTTACAGATGAGCAGTCACAAGACAATTTCCTTATTGCAGACCAGGCAGTAAGAAGAGGCAGATCCTGTTCTGTAGTTCTAGTAGTAATTTCAGGGAAGGTGTTCTCAGTATTTCATTGCCTGCTTTCAGCTCAGTCCCTAAGGACACTGTGTCATGACTGGATTGTGTAACAGTGTTGTAGAGCCCAAGACCTTGCTTGGGAGCATGGGAATGACTGAGCTCTGTCCCTAAGGTGTTTTGTGACAGGCAGTGGGAAGTGCAGTCTTCCAGTTGTTTGCAGGATTCGGGAGACAAGAAAACATCTAGGTCTTCTAGTCCAAGCTCTTTCCTTGCTATCTAAGATAGTTGCCCCTCCATGGTGTGAAATACAGTGTGACTGGTGTTGTCACAGACCCAAGTGTTCCTGTCACTGCAGTGAAACTAAGAGAAAATAAATAGCCCAAAGCAACCACCCTTTCCTGCTGGCACATTAACCCTTGGAAGCTTCTTGTGCACTCACACACCCTCCTAAGTGTTCATTTAGGTTGATGCATTGGCCAGTTCTTATCTTCTGTATGCATTATATATCATTAAGTAGGAGTTGTAAGTGGCCTGTGGTGGAGCAAATGGTGTTATTACCATGGGTGGACTTTGTATCAGGCTCAGGAGGGGATGCTGTAATTCTAGGCTTTCCTCTTACTCCACATCCCTAGGACATTATTTTCTCAGCGGTGCCTGAAAGATAAATGTGCCGAAAGGTCTTGCATCAGCAATGCTGTCAGACTCATCCCTGTGCAATGCTGACTCAGGCTGTGGGGATGCAAAAAGATGAGTGGTTCGATTAAAAGAAACTATAAAAATTCCTGTAACTTCACATAGGGAGGGCTGTCCTGTAATTCCTGGCTGCATCTTTCTGCCTCTACCCTAAAAGCTTCACTCTCTTCATCCTAAAAGCGTGTTCTGGCATTCAGAGATGACATGGTGAGTATCTGGTTGGATGAAACTGCTGATGGCCACCTGAAGTAAGTTGTATTTACAGACAAACTTGACCACAAGCCAGATCTTCACTTTACCACCAGCTTGCTGAATGCTGTTCCTGGCTATCAGATGGGACACAGGAAGTGGCATGCATTTCCATATGTATGCACATTAACTCCTTGTATGTATAGATCATTATTTCATGTGATCTGTAGTGGCTGGAACCACACCTGCTGCAAAAAATACCCTCTGTAAATCAAGTCTCGTACAGTAATCTGCCATTGGTACTTGGAAGAGCAAGAGTGGTGGGAAAACGCAGAGTCTACCTGTCTCAGCTTGCGTGGAAGCAGGCTCCTTGTCTGGGTGGATGAGTGTGTGTGTGAGAAATACCTCTTTTTCCACAAAGGGAAAGGATGGCTGTTTCACTTTACACTCTGGATACAGCCTGCAGCTACAGCTCAAGAGCAAGCAGCACGTGTCCAATAAAGGTGAGCTTTAATTTCTTGTTAGTACCATCCAGTAACAGTGTTGAGTAAGCTTATGTGCTTCGCATTGAAAGCAGATGAAGGTCTAAGGAGTAAAGAAAGGTGTCCTGTCTGCCCTTTCCCCCCCCGTCCTTTTCCTTTGTCCTCCCACGTGCAAGCAGTAGGAGAATTTCACTGCTGACTCCTGGACCATGCATGTCATGATGGGGAGCAGTCCATGTTGGCCTGAATGACACATTGCTTTGCCTGCAAGCCCTGGGTTGAGGGCAGCTCTTAAAAGGTTCTTGCTGAGAGCAAGAGACTGTTGAGGGGTGAGCAGGGAGGACATAAGGAAAAGAGCAAACGCAGGCTGGAGGGAGTCTGACTTGCAGCAGCCGCATTGAGATACAGCCTGGTGCTAATTTGGTAAGTTGTTTCAGTGATATATTAGCAGCTTTGATGAAGGCAGTGTCTGGAAGGATCAGCATCACTGTCTGTCCATTGCTGGGATATTGGTCTGGATCCAGTTTTGTCATTTTGATGAGAAAACTATAGTAAATCATAATGTCAGTGATACTGTAGTTAGCAGGGAAGGTATGTGGATGTCCTTCAATGAGTGCATATTGCTTTTCTGGCTCACCAGTTGGGATACAAACCTGTTAAATGTTCCTGGCTTCATTTTGTTGTGAAGGTCAAGGCCAAGAGTGTCACTTCAGGTGAGATTGGGATGATGGTCTTGAGCCAAAGGTGTAAGAAGGGCATCGGATTGCTGAGGCAGAGCACTTCAGTCTGGACCTGAACTGTCCAGGAGCTCTGAGGCTGCTTGAATCTGGCTGGAGAAGGTGGATCCCTATGAGCTTGTTTGAAGTTAATCCTAAGTGATTTATTTACCTGGAACGGAGAAACTGTGGTAGGGGTTGAAACTGGATGACCTTTAAGGTCCCTTCCAACCCAAACCAGTCTGGAATTGTATGAAAAAGACAGATTTTCCTATCCAGTTTCTTTGCTTTACTCTGGGTACTTGGCAAGTTGCAGGTGTGATTGTGGCTCTGATTAATGCGCCAGGCTGAGACATGCAGACACGTTTTCCATGTCTCAGGCTGGCACTGATGCTAATGTCAGGCTGAGATGCTCATAGGATGGAAATCCTTTGGTCTCTAGTGTGATGCAGCTGAGTCTTGTTAGTGCAGCAGGAGCCATCCGCCTGGGCTGTCTTCCATACTCAGATTGTGGAGCATGGTATCAAAACTAGGCATGGGCAGAAGGGGTGGCTGTGCACTACCAGGAACTGTGCTATGCAATTGCTAACCTCCCTGCCATTAACAAGCTGCCTTTTATCCTCCTTCCAAGGTGATACCTCTGATTTACTGAGGAGTCTGATAGAAACAAACCCTTCTGTTTTGATTGGACCGTTCTGTGCGCTGATACAACCTGCCAGCTGGCTTCTCCCAAAACACATTATTGACTTTAGCAGCATTAGAGGATTATCAAGGCTGAATAAACCTGCATGTCTGAGTTGGATGAATTTTCTAGGCTCTCCATCCAGAAGAGTTTCTGTGTGCCTGCCAAAAGATGGGGAGCTCAACAAGAGGGTCAAGTGCTGGCATGTGAGTGTGACAGCCTGATACTGGCTTCTGACTGTACTGCCAGCCCTAGCAGGCTGTTGAAAGAGCAGATGTGTCCTTTCTGGCTTTGAGAGAAGGTAATGCTGTATGGTGAGGGTGTATTATGTAGAAAAGATGGTAGTAATTAATGCTTGAAAGAGAAAATAAACCACATTGCTCTGGAAGCAGAGGATCGCTTGGCTGTCTGGGGGAGTGTTAGAGCTGATCTGTGCTTAGCATCTTCACTGATGTATGGCTTTTGAGTAGGAACATGACCTGCTCTCTTACTGTGCAGATTTAATGTTGGTCTGATTAGGGAACGTGTGTATTAAATTAATAGGGCTAGTTCTTTTCTCTGCTGTTAGGAAACAGCCTTCTCAAAATAGTAATATCTGTGGGGATGTAACTGAGTGGTCTTGTTGGTTTTGTGGATGGAGGAGTGTGGCTCTCGTAGATGCCCCAGAACAGCATGGTAGGAGTCCTGCTGATAGAGGGAGCTCCTCAGGTTTTAAAGGTGTTTATATGAGGGTGTGTGGGGTTGGGATCGTGTGGCTTGGTGAAGGAATTGTGGCTCAATGTCTGTAATGAAAACTCAACAAAAGAAATTGGAGGGAGCTTACCTGCAATGGTAAGTTCCTATGAATGAAGATCAATTACACTTACACTGAATTCAGCTTGCAGCTAAAGAAATGTATTAGAAAGGCATTAAATCATTGCATTAATATTAAGAGACTAAATCTGTATAAACTCAAATCAAAAGGGGGATTGCTGTTTGCCTGTGAGAGTGATCAAGAATTTCACTGGAACTGCTGAAATCTGTCACTTACCAAGAACCTATCACTGAAATTGAATCATGTTTTCCACCTGGACACAGTGTAGGACCAGAACGCTTTTCTTGTGATGCTTTTCCTCCTTCCTATAGCAAAGAGAACAACATCAACAAAGCTTTTCCCATAAGTAGCCCTTTGAATCCCTAGTGAGAGAAATCACCACGGACTGACTGGAGCTGTGTGCTGCAGTGCAGCCTCCAGGGCTGGAGGTAGAACCCAGACATCAAAGCTGTGTTTTCTGGCCCATTCAGGTGCGGTTATTTTTAGGCTGGGAAAGCTTTCTCCTTTGCATTAGCAATTTTCAGAATATTTAGGGATTTGGAATTGGTAAATTTGTAACATCACTGCCCTGGAATACACATCACTGGAGGTTTCTGCGCTGTTTTCTGTAGAGCATTACTCTTGATACCTGTTTCTGTAAAATTTAATATTAAGGAAATTAATAACTGGAAGTCATTCAAGATAAAGCTGCAAATATAATTTTAAACTCATTTTTAAAGCTTTCTTCCTTGAACCTAGCTTTTAGCAGAGATAGGCTAAAAAAGGTTTAAATCATATCTGGTGTACTTAAAAGTATGAATCTTTGGAGCCACACTTGTACTTTTCCATCTTTCTTTTCCCAGCACAAGTATCTAAGTAGGAGCTTCTAGTGCAAAGGTAGAGGCAGCTGCTGCTCAGTGCCTTGTGCTCTCATAGCAGTGATCAGAACACAGCTTCATATATTCCTGTCTTATGTTCTCCTAGAGTTTACTCAGCGCACTGAAAGCTTTGCATGTGCATACCGGAGCAAAAGGGGTGATTTATTCTTATTTCTCCATGAAGGGGAAAAAAAAACTGTGCTAGCAGAAGCCTGCAGTGAGATGAAACCCTTCCCCATTAGTGCTGTGAACTGATGGGGGATGTGTAGGTAAAACCAGGGGTGTTCTGTATGAAACACTTCTATTTTGAGAGGTTTGCTGAAAGGGCTGCCACTGTGTCCTAGCAAACCCTGTGTGGGGATAAGCTGAAGAGTGGTAAGTGCTTTCCTTGCTTAACTTGCCCCTTTTGATGTCCTGTGCCAGTATTGCTCAGAACTGCCAGCTGAAAAAGCACAGGCCTAACAGTTAGTGCAGCACTTGGTTCTTTACAGAAGGCAGGTATAAGCTGTGCTTGGAGGGCTTTAAACTCCTTCATGGCCTCACAAGTAGCTCTATGCAATTGGAATATGCACCTTGAAATCTGTTTTCATTATATTTGTTCTGACATCCTCTGGGCAGGCAGATCCAAAAGTGGGTGTTTGTCAACTTGCTTGTAGTTATTGGAGAGACATCTTCAGTGCTAGGAGAACTTGATGAGAAAACTGTCTGTTCTGGTTTCATTAGATCTGAACCAGAAAATACTGATGGCTTTCCCTCCCCCACATAACTGCCTCGGCATCAGTCCCCCCATGGCAGTGTCAGTGCTGCTGTCTCTAACCCATGTCATCTTATCTCTAACAGGTTGGTGGGACGAAGACAGGAGTTGTGCGCTATGTGGGAGAGACAGACTTTGCCAAAGGAGAGTGGTGTGGAGTGGAGCTGGATGAACCCCTGGGCAAGAACGACGGGGCGGTTGCTGGTACAAGGTACTGTGTGTGCTCTCAAACCCGGCCTGGAGCTCTAGGGTCCCACACACCTCCCAGGGTGATGGTGGCCAAATGTCACTTGGACCTGTTAAGAGCAATTATGTTTGGTTGAACACTGTGGGTTGTGAGGAAGAGTTGAATTTTCAGTCTTTCAAGCTTTGGAATAGCTTTGCAGGATCAGTGGAGCATTTTAAAGCAGGATCAACTAACATCTGTGAAGTAACATGAGTGGCTTCAGGAAACAGGAGAGAGTAGGGAGAGAAGGTAACTTGTGGTGAGATGCAGGTTTTGCTGGAAATTGATTCTGTGACTGCATTAGCTCTGCTTTCTACACATATTCTCTTTATAAAATTTCTTCTTGCCCTAAATCTGTAATTTACCCTGTCAGAGCTATAGAAGATAAAGACTTCACTCTCTATTCCTCAGCTTAATGATACTTCTTCCATTCTTTCTGGGGACAGGTTTCCAGAGATCCAAAGGAACAACTGGTGGTTGTTGCATGTCCTTGTGGCAGTTCTGTAGTGTGGCAGCTGTCTGCTGGCTGATCTGACCACCTCTGACTCCATTGGCACCTCCAGTATTTTATTTTCCAATAAAGTCCTTGTTAGTATCTATAAAACTAGACAGGGACATCTCACAGCCTTACTGGGAAGCTGTTTCTGTTTATTTGGAAGCTTGGTAAAAGAATGGCCCCCAACATCTTTAAACTTGGGAGTGTTCAAATCCAAGTTTTATAGAGCACCACTTTGACCCTGCCTCAAATACAGGTAGAAATGGTTCTGTGTCCTTCAGAAGTTCCTTTAGTGGGAAATATTGTTGATTTCTTGAGACTTCTTAAGGGAATCTTGCATTAGAGGGGAGATTTAACTTTGAAACCGAGGAGCAGATAGTTCCTCCCTTGTTGGATCTCAGGTTCTATATAAAGGTCTCTTGTGTTGGGTCAGGATTTTCTTTTTTCCAGCAGCCATGTGGTTTGATTTAAAATGAAAGAAATGCTGCTCTGTTCAATGTCAGGCTAAGAAAGCAGAAAATGATTGGCAGCAGATGGCTGAATTCCAGCCTATTCTCAGAAGAAAAGAACTGGGATGGTAGAGAGGAAGTCATGGAGTGAATTCAAGTCTCTATCATACACTACAAATGATCTCTAAGCTTAATCTTCAGGATGCTCAGAAGTGATTTATCTCTGTGCATGTGGAAGGTGTGGAAGGCAGATGTGAATGTAAGGGTGCTCTCTCTGCCTCTCATCCTCACACCTCTGTTGCTCTGGTTTGCAAATCCAACCTTTGGAAGTCATCTGTCTTACGAAGCTGCTACATCTTGTCTAAGGTTGTTACAGTGTGTGCCCTGTCTGCAAGGCTTCTCCTTTCTTTTGCATTATATCAACAGCAGGAAAAATTGAGCTCCACAGCAGGGCTCAGGGAGCTGGAGTGAATGAAGAGGTTTGGGTTAAACACGGGAGATTGAGGGAAATCTAACTTTGCAGATCTTGGAGCAATAACGGGTACTATCAATACAGCAGTGGTATGTGTGGACTCTCCAGATGAAGGGTGCTCTGTTCACCAAGGATCTGGCTGCAGGTTTGCAGCATTGTCCCTGCTTGTCCTTTGATCCTTCATCCAACCTTCTGATTTTCTTATAGCACATCCCAATTTCAACAGCAGTGTTTTGGAGGAGAAGCCAACATAGTAAAAGTGACTCCTTTGTTACATGCAGGAGCTCCTCAGTCAGTCTTCCCTTATGTCTGCCATAGGATTCCTGACAATGCCCTGAGCTTGACCTGCCAGAATCAGCCTGGGCAGGGACCATCCAGTTCTTCGGAGTCTCTCTGCTTTGGTGGCTGTTGCCATCTAGTGAGCATCCTGGGCCAGGTCACCTGCTGCTGCAGAAGCAGTCTGCTGCAGGAGAGTTGAGTCCAGAGAGCTGGTTCTGAGGCAGTAGAGGCTGCTCTCCTGCCTGCACTGGAGGTTAGAGAGGTGCTGGTGTGGATTTTGGTTTCTCCCCCACGAAACCAAGCAAGTTCCTCTTACTCATCTCTAGTACATTAACTTTTACCTGCTTATTCTACTGTTCTTCCTTCTCTGCCTCTGCTCCTATGGGAGCCTGTGCCCACTAGACTGTTCATACCTTTGCTTTCACAGAGTCTGAAACAGGTCAGCCTTGGACACTGAAGGTGTCTTTATCTATTATAAAACTTTTTGTGCTATTTCCCACCTGCAGTTTCTATTGGCATCACACCACTACTTTTCTTCCCTGTTCCTTTTCTGCAATGCGAGTATAAAACTCCTTAGCGCTCAGAGCAACTCTTGGTTTTCAGGCAGGCACTGCCAAGTGTTCTGGATCTAATTCTTGCTTCTGAACTACAAAAGTTAACTGCAACCACTTCCAGTCTGGACATAGTGATGCAAGTTTGGACTTGTTAAGAGCTGTCAGGGGACCTCTGAGGGACTTAGCCTTTGGCACTGTTGTACAGCCACAAATAGCATCTTGTGCTGAGAACAGAGAGACCTGTGGAAGGGACTGCACCATGCTGTTGTTCTGCCTGTGTCTACTGCAGTTTGAGATCATGATGCTGAGCAGGGCTTTGGTTGGGTTTGCAAGAGATCAGGCTGATGTTCTTCCTTGGGTCCCTGCTCTGCAGCTAGGTCAGCCTGTGGTATGGCTGGTTCTCCATCCCCAAGGGCCTGTGTTGGCAGCAGGCACAGGGGAAGAAGTGATTTTTGGATTGTAGGTTTTGTTTTTTCATGAAGATTGTTATAGGAAGAATTTGGCTTGAGCAGATGTTTGCAAATGAATCGCTTTCTCATCTGGCTGGAGATCAGGCTGCTCTCTGGCCTCCCAGGCCCACAGAGGTCTGCCTGTGACACAGCCATGTGGCTGCCAGCACTTCAAAATAAAAGGGAATTGGGGAAACAGCTGCTCACATCTGGAGAGGACTTGTATTAGCAAAGCTGGGTTTGTCACTTACTCATTAGGACCTATGTCCTAAACACACTCATTGTGTTTACATAGGACAGACTATAGCCCAGTATTTAGTCCTAGGCTACCTATGAAGCTGGTGAGAAAGCATTCCTAAAGGAGACAGGTTTCTGTGTTGGCTACTCCCTTGAAAGAAGGGGATGTCAGGCCTGGAGAAGATCTGGTTTTATTTGCTGCAGTGCAGCTGGCCAGCAACAAATGAGCCCTGGTTTGAGCCAGTCAGCCCAAGCTCTGAAGGGGTTTCCAATGTCTGACACTGTGGGTTTTGGCTAATTTGTTTTCTGAAATAGGGCTCTGGAGAGACATAATCATTGGGCTCACTGCAGTTGTGGAAGAGCTTGCACTGTAATTATCTGATCCTCCCTTTTGGATGTTTCTCTCTAAGTTTGCTTGCATAGGAACCAGGTCCTCTCTCTACTACCCAGAGGATATGGTGCACATTGGAGATTGCTATAATGATATCTTTAGATTCAAAGTTAAGAGCTGCCCTTTTCTGTTTTGGAAGGAAAGATTTTTACCGTGTAGAACACTCACACAGAGCTGTGTGATTCAGAGCTCTCTGACATGTTTTACTATGTGACTTTCTGCAAAACAGGGTAGAGAACACACTTGGGTTTTGTGCGGAAGGCGAGTGCATGTGCTGTCACTGTGTTTATGTACTGGGATCTTTGTGCTATTCAGGCTAACAGATGGGTCTTTCCTTGCGTCTTATCAAAGTGCACAGCAACTAGTGCATGGCAGTTACGCTGGGTTTCCCTGCTTAAGCACCACAAGTGAAAACACAGAGATAGCTACTGCTCTAAGCGGCAGGAGAAGAGAATAATCCAACCACTTGCACACAGGAAGCAACATCACAGCAAAACCAAGAGATTAGCTGAAGGCTGAGGTTATATGTTGCTTAGTAATGCTATTCTGTAAGGCTTGAGTGAGTTGGATGCTCTACCACTTCTGACTTGGTGCATTTCCTGTATTACAGGTATTTTCAGTGTCCTCCCAAGTTTGGCCTCTTTGCTCCCATCCACAAGGTGATCCGGATCGGTTTCCCATCAACCAGCCCTGCCAAGGCAAAGAAGAGCAAACGAATGGCCATGGGAGTGTCTGCCTTAACCCACAGCCCCAGCAGCTCCTCCATCAGCTCTGTCAGCTCCGTGGCATCATCTGTTGGTGGCAGGCCCAGCCGCAGCGGACTGGTACGTGGCTCTTTCTGCAGACCATACAGTCTCGACCCACTTCTTCTGTGACCCAGCTCTACAACGTAGCAGGCTTGGGGTTCTGTTTCAGCAGCTGCAATGGGGCAGCTGTTCTTTTACCATCAATGAGATGGAGAGTGGAGTGTGGGGTACTGTTGCCCACCTTACAAATAGGACTCCCTCCATGGACACAAGTTGTAACAGGCACAGAGCAAGTGGGATCATTGCAAATAGCAGTACAGGCTCTGTGATGGGAGGAAGCTCAACTCCACTGTCAAGGCAGGTTTTGTACAAGATCCCTGCAGACAAATGCCATTGCTTCTTGTCCAACATGGTTGTGTAGCAGTGTACTGCTGTATCAAACAGCTATGCAAAAGCTCCTGCAACGACTGTGTCTTGCTCTGGAAGGGTGACACTGTCTTGGATCACATGCCTTGTAGTTTGGCAAGTACTCAAGCAGGCAAATGCCAGAGTAGGAAGCAGTATTAAGAGCTGACTTGCGGTAGTGTGTGCTGCATAGCACCTGCAGTCATCTTGGCTGGGGACAAGGGTGCAGTATCTGTTACTGGGGAGTGGATCTGAGTAGCACATACCAGTCTACAGCTGAGAGCAGTCTACACAGCTGATCTCGCTGTTTGAGACTGCACCTGTGCAGATCATCAATAAAATATACTTAAAAAGGCAGATGATCCAATAATACCTTTTCCTGATCCACTTCCACCCCATGTCCTGCCCTCTTCTGCAGTGCAGAAGAGCTATTGAGCTTGTAAGCAATGCCCAGATGTTTTGCGGACATAACCTGACCTGTAGGGTCCAGAGCTGGAACTGCAGCTTTGTACAGTGTAATAAAGGATCTGTAGGTGAGCTACATTCCAGATTTAACAGGAGCCTCAAGCTATTCCAGCCTTAGAAGGACATAGCTTTACCCCTGTCTCTTTTTAACTTGTTTTCCAGCTGACAGAGACCTCTTCTCGATACGCCCGAAAAATCTCTGGCACCACAGCTCTCCAGGAGGCACTGAAGGAGAAGCAGCAGCACATTGAACAGCTACTGGCAGAGCGTGACCTGGAGCGGGCTGAGGTTGCCAAAGCCACCAGCCACATCTGCGAGGTGGAGAAGGAGATTGCCATCATGAAGGCCCAACATGAGCAGGTAGGAGGTGATGTGCTTTATCACTAGCACTCAAATATCTGGCATCCTCTGAAAGGTTTAGGTAACATTATCGCTGTATAGCTTCCTGATGTGAAACCTGGGCTTTGAATTTCTGCTTCTTAAGTGGTGATAGCTTCCTGCATGCTGGGTTGAGCTGAGGCTTATTCTCTGCTCCTGCCAGCATCCCATGGGCTCTGTCTGCCCCAAGCCAGGAGCAGAAAAGGGCTGTGCCAGAAGAAAGACAGCAGATATTGATCCACCAGACGCAAACTACATTTGAATGCTGAAATGCAAGTAGAGGGCAAACTTGTTGCCCTTAGTCTCCCAATCTGGCTGTGGCTGTGACTGCATTGCAGTGTTTTCTTGACGTTATCGAACACTGCTGAGAGCATCAGCTCAGTTAGATGCCACTGCTTTCCTACCAGAGAGGAGGTCTTTATCACATTAATAAAGTCAAAATACCTATAAGGAAAACAGGCTGATCCTGCGAGGGGTTTTTTGCACAAACATTTGTACAAATGATACTTTATGCACTTAAATGCTTAGAGGAGTTGTATTTGTTCTATTTGTCAAGATGTAGCTATTCAATGATTGCTGTCATGTCTCCCTGTCAGAAATGCAGGAGAGACTGGCAAATCAACCTCAAGCTGACATCATCTTCATGTGTAATATTTTCCAGTAGTTAGCAGTAATAAATGAACTAATACAACCCTGAAATGTCTCTCTTGCTTCATTATAAGGGCTGAATTGTACCTGGTAACCTCAGAATGGGTTTTTCACAACTATTGAGTCTTCAAGTTCTTAACTCTTAATTTAGAGCTGGATTCTCCAAAGGCTTCAAGTCAGAGAGGCACTGATGCATGGATCAAATTTACAGCTGCTGAAGATTGCTCAATTTTTTCCTTTTTGATCGCTACATAATGGGCTCTTTGAAAACTCTGTCTTCTTACCATAGCATCCTCTGAAACAGATCATCAAAACCTTCTCTTCTCTTGTTCTGACCCTTTCTTAACCAACTCTATACTTAAAACTTGTAACTCTTGTTGCTCGGGCTCTCTTTTTGCTGCAGTACGTCACGGAGGCAGAAGGAAACCTCCAGCGAGCACGAACTCTGGTGGATGTGATGCAGAAGGAGAAGATTGAACTGTTGAACCAGCTGGAAGAGGAGAAGAGGTAAAACAGGAGTGAATGGGTATGGAGGAGATGAAGTCATGGGGGAGATGAGGCTCTTGCCCAAGAACATCATTCATTGGATCTAAGGAGAAGAAAGTGACTGGGAAAGTCATCTTTGGATGTCTTTCAGTACTTCAGATATGTTGTTTCACCCTCCTGGCCACTGTGGTCTACACTGAGTGTGGGGAAGGGTTGTACTGCATTCAGGTACTGGGAGGTTTAGAACAGTTTTGCTGCAGTTGCACATCTGATAAGAGTCTTGTCTAGGATTGAGCTTCCAGTACTGTGGCTGCCCCCATTTTCTGACAAACTGCTGCTAATGACAACCAAACAGTGAACTATTTCCAATTAGTCTTGTACAGCCCTATGTCGTATAGCTCTTAGAGAAAACTCAGTGCTGTATTATCTCGTGGGGTTGTAGTGAGCTAACTTTTGTGACGTGAGTGGTCTCAGGTTGCTTGAATATGCTCAGCTAAACCTAATACCCCACTATTACAAAGCAATTTAAAGGCAGAAAGCAAGCAGCCAGGGCAGCTCATACTTGGGTATGAGTTTCATGATTTAACATGGTTTCCTGCCAAACGCATGGAGAAGCAGCATTATTTGCCTGAAGGAACGAAGGGTTCTGGTAGTATCAGTTACTCTGAGATTTAAAACCATGACCAAACTCGCCCATGTCACCGTGAAATGGAATTGCTCAGTACAGGTGGGATTAATTAATGGCAAGGCTTTGGACAGTGACAAAGCCTTGGCTAAGGATACAGTATAAGATAACAGTGCTGGATAATAAAGAGAACTGTGCAGTTTGGGCTATCCCAGACCCCTAACCTTCCTGTACAATCTGGCTTTACTAAGGACCACTTTTTTCCCCTCCATTTGGGATATGCTGATGTTAAGGACATTTCTTCTGAGGAAGGCAAGTCAAATTGGAATACAGCCTTACTGTAGTGTGATTGATAATCTCCCCACATCCCAGAGGCCCCATCCCTATATACGTGATGATGCATACATTTTCTCTCTGGATAAGAGTGAAGATCTGCTTGTCATTCTTGGAGTCCAATTGCTGTCTATATATAATTAAACTCTTCAGTGGGAATAGAAATACATTTCTGTGTATTAAGTAACTGAAACCAGTGTTGAGTTCAATTGAATGATGCTCCTCCTGAGGATGCATTGTTCTTCTGTGCCTAAGTCTTCGTGTTCTCCTGGTAGGCAGCTCACTTTCCCAGCTCCAGGAGGCCCTTTAACCCAAGACAGCTGACTCCTTTCCTAAATATCAACAGATGCCTCCTCTAATTAGAGGAGGTTTACACAAGGAAGCTTGTTTATGAAGTTAGATATGTACACTCACAGTGATTTTCATCTGTAACGGGATCTGAATCCTTACATCTGGCTACCAGCTCAACATCCTTATTATTGCCTTCTTTTTAATCAGTGAAGAGAACAAACAGGGCTCAGGTTAGAAGAAAACTGTATTATTTTGTATCATTACTGGACTTTCTCTTCAGACTTTACAAAAGAGTCTTAGTCATGTCTCTGTGTGTTCATGTAGGTTTATGTGTGTTTAGTCATGAGTGGCCTGTACAAGCTCTGGTGAAGGCTTTTCTGCCAGGGCAGCTCCCCATTTCCATTTGGAAATGTTACATATTGCCCACCCTCTGCCAAGGAGGCAGAGGCTCTGATTCCCTTGGAGTGATTTGTATGGACCTGTGCATTTGGCACAGGAATTGGTCAGTGCTCGGCTGCAGAATAACAACGTCCATGTAAACCAGTGAAACCTGGTTGTGGTTTTCATGTTTTCAGGATCCCAGTGTCAATGAATAGCAGTTGTGCCTGCTGAGAGGTGGTGCAGCAGAAGCAGCAAATCTGTGAACGTGTACCTTGCAAGGAGGCAAATGTTTGCTATGTGGAAAACTTGCTTATTACTGTTTAGCTCCATGGGTCTTGCTGTTTAGCTGCTTCTAAGCTGTTTGTGTACAAAGATTGTCTGTATCCCTCTTCTCTCAGGCTTCTGATGTGTAGGGGAGGCCCATGTGCAGTGGCTGCTTAGAAAGAGGATACTGATCTAGGTGTTACTGATTTCTCTTTGTGTCCTCTCCCCTCCTCAGGAAAGTGGAGGACTTGCAGTTCCGTGTGGAGGAAGAATCCATTACAAAGGGGGATCTGGAGGTAATTCCTAAAACCCTTACACCTTGACACCCCTTGAATGTGGGGTCAGAACCTGAAATTGCACGTGGGGACTCACTTGATTAACTTCTGCCACCTTTTGCTCAACTCCAAACAATACTTTATCTTTACTGATGGCTTTGGATGTGCTGTGAACACCGTGGTATAAACTGTGAAGATTGTTGTTTGGTAGGTTGCCAATGACTAATAATGCTGTGGAGCTGCCTAGAATTAATCACATGCAGCCAACTTGGCTTTAAGTGTCACCAGGAGTTGCCAAGCCATGTTAATTCTGACTGTATCTGAATGCATTTCAATATATGTTTTTCCACTGTAGAAATGAGCTGACTGCTTAGTCACTGTCCCTGATGTTATTCTATTCCAGCTGAAGTGCTGTGTATGATTTGACCTGTGGTATCCCTGTGTGGAGTCCTCTGCCCATGAGTGTGAGGTTTGACACTAGGATACCCGTTCATTTGAAGGGTATGCTTGGAGTGATACTGTGGCAGTGAATATTGTGCAATCTGGAAGTGATGTTGGGAGCTTGCCCTTGAGTAGGAGGCTTTACTGTGGGGGAGAAATGGAAAAGATACTTCTGTGAAAGCAAGGCTCTGCTCTGTGTGTGCAAATCAAAGGACTTTAGCTAGAGTGCTAGGTTAGTAACAGCCAGAAAAGTCAGGGGACCTGCTCCTGTGCTTCTCCATAGGACATATCAGTAAAAGCCCAGGAAAATGGGAAAACTAGGCAATGGGGTATGTTGCTATGGCTTTGACCATTGTGGCATAAGCCTCTCCTCTTTATCTAAAAGCAGAATAATGTGTTTGGCAAGTATAAATCAGCAGTGTACTGATAGCATACCTTTGCTAGTGTGCTATCAGGTTTCTGTGATTCCTGAGCTGAAATGATAGGTTTCCCCCAGTGCTTTGGAGAAGTCTGGTTGATCCATCCATCATTCCCTTTGAGAGCAGCGAATTGCCCCTCTGTAAGCTTTAAGTGTTTAGGCCTGGCTGTGTAATAATGGCAGTGGGACCAGGGCTGGCTGTATATTTAAATACACCATGTTTCAGCAAGATGGTAAGTTGCTGTGACAGTAATGCTCCTATGCCTGCAGGTCCTAAACTGAGGAAAGATCTGACTGTCATTTGGGCTGCAAAGGAGTGGCTTTGCAAATAGGGATGTGGCCAAGCTTCTTGCAGGCTGTGAGGGTCCTCTCTTCACCTCCATGTTCATCTATACAGAGGAACAAATAACCTCTTAAGAAAGAGTCATGGAGCAGTTTGGTTTACTGTGATGCAGAGAGCTGGGGTGTTCCCAGTGAGTCCAACACCAGTGAGAGCACAGGCATCGGCAGAAGGTTTGCTGTGGTCAGTTTTTACATCCTGTCTAATTTGTGTGCTCAGAGTGAATGATTGACTCACTGGAGATAATTCCCACCTTCCTGCTTCGTTGTGGAGCCAGTCAGGATTTCCAGAAGCAAGTAATACACTTAAATAAAACTCTCATTGGAAATCAGGGGGGATAAGTGCTCCCTCATGTTGCAGGGCATTTCCTGGTAATGGTTGTTCCTGGTACTCTTCATGTAAAATCACAACAAAGTCAAGCAGCGGCTGCTAGCAGAGCCCTTTGCATCTCTAGCTGGACCTGAACAAACCACTCAAATACCAAAAGCAAAACCCAGAGGTGGTTGTCTGCCCTTCTCTGGTCTTGAAGGCTAAATCCCATGGCATTTCTTACAATACCATGTAGGTTTTGAACAAATCTGGGACTTCCAGGTGCTAAGCATGGCAGGCAACATCCCTAGAAGCTCTTTGACCAAAGAAATAAGTGTCTGAGGCCTAGAGATATGGATCAAGTCTTTGAACCTCTGATAAAGAAGGAGCTGTGGATTTAGCCCTGGAATGAATTAAACCCGTTTTTGGTCCTGTTTGGCAATGCTGAAGGTATAATGGTTTGGAAGATTTAAAGCAACTGCAGGAAAACAAAACCTTTGAAGAGAGGCTTTTTAGGGTGAAAGACCGTGATTTATAGGAAATACTAACCTCTTCAAGAAACTACCTCATGTTCATCTCCTGTAACCTGCATCATGCCTTGAACAGCAGTGGGAAGTCAGCTTATAGTCTGTCAATAGTAATTCAAGGCCAGTAGCTGGAAGTCTAAAGTCCAGATCTGAACTTCCTCAAAGTACGGGAGAATGTTGAATTGAAGCTCTGAGTCATGCTGGCTGGGCAAACCAGTTTGCATAAAATAAGAAATAATACAAGGCTTGATGCAAGTCTAAAATGAAAGGATTGTAAAACACTTGGTCTTTCTTCCCTGATTATTTTTCTCCTCTATTTTTGTATGTTTTTCCATTGGAAATGGAAATGAAATGGAAACGGAAATGGAAAAGAATATCAGGTGGAACTGAGATAGCTTTGCTGGGAGCTGGAGTGTTGCCCTGGGGACTCTTGAGAATGTCTCTTTGGGAGATGCAGAGATTAGTTTTGTAGCAGTTCAGCATCTTCAGGTAGCCTGTATCTGACGTGCTGCCACCAGTTGAGGTAATCTCAAATCTGTGTTGCTGAATTTTCACTTGGGGATTTTGAGCTAGCGTAAACTGAAGAAAATCCATTGTTATTAATGGAATAAGTACCACTAAGTAAAAGCAAACCTGCTTTTTTTACCTTGCAAAATTTCCATCCTGAAATATGGATCTTTGAGCATTGCAGGGGGCAGGAGAAGCCTCTCAGTATGTAATTAGATTTCTTTTCTTTTTAGCATGCATTCAGCCAACTTTTACACTTAAGTGATATTATTTGGGGCTTTTGATAATGTTGGGTTCTTCCTTCAGGAATCAAATAGACCACATAAAATAAAGTAGTCTGAATATATCTGGCAGTTGATTGTGACCATCATCATGTATCACATATAATGATACTTTTCAAGCTGGAAGAGAAAACAATGTATTTTTATAAACTTCAGTTTCCATCATTTTTGCACAACTATCCAGAACTTACTTTATTGTAGGAAAGGGCAGAAAGTCCTTAAAAGTGGTTCCAATAAAAAGAAGGGGAAGAAAATAATTATATGGAAAATGAAAGGCAGAAAATGGAGGTGGGGGGGGATGGTTCTGCTCAGGTTTGTTTGCTTTTTGGTAGGTCTGATCTAATTCAAAGGAATATGTTGGGTTTGTAAGCTAAAAAACTGTGAAGGGCGGAGTCTGCATGCGTTTTCCCATGTCTCCTTTCCTCTTTTATTTATGGGAAATTTTACATGATATTGCAGTGGTCATTGTGGAGTCCTTCTGCTTTAAGAGAAAGGCACTGAAGCAATACCCTGAGTCAGTGCTCCTGGGTCTGGGCACGTTACGTAAAGCTCTTGTGCTTAGATCAACCAAAAAAGCAAAACCAAAACAGTGGGTCTGCTTTCATGTGTACAAGGCTGAGTTTGAGTGCCAAAATCACATTTAAATTCATAGCAGATTTTCAAACCTAAAGCATTGATATATAACAGTTTGGTATCTAAATTTCTGATTTGCTTTCAGTACAGTGTATTTTGGGTCTTAATGACATACTATGTACAGTATGACCTGACTCTTTTTTAGTGCAGGATTCAAGCTGTCTCAGGAGCAAAAAGAGGATGGGAGCTTCCAGCTCTTCACTGTACCTTGTGATCCTTCTTGAGGAGAGATGTGGGGAATCATTGCAAGGTCTTTGCATTCTCTGATGCAAGGGTCTTGTAGTGGTGGCCTGCAGTGGTGGAAGTTTTGCTTTTTAGGAGGTGTCTTCAGTGTAGTCTTGATGCAGGAAAACACCGAAGCAGAGTTTCTAATACAGAGGGGTGGTTTCCCATCATAGGTTTAATTTTCTTGCAAATAGCCACTACGAGTACCATGTAAAATCCTGTAGTGACCATTTTCTGTTTGGTTGGATTTTTCCTGCTTATTTGGATCTTTATTCTCCTCCTGTTGTGAACTGCCTTTCCTTGTCTTGTACACTGAAGATGATGTTGCAGCCTTCTCTTTCCCTCTCTTTCTCTCTCTCCCCTGCCCTTTTCCCATTTCCACTGTTCTTTTCTCCCTCTGTGTGACCAGACTCAGACGCAGTTGGAGCATGCCCGAATACGGGAGCTAGAGCAGAGCCTGCTGTTTGAGAAGGCACAGGCTGAGAAACTCCTCAGAGAATTAGAGGACACCAGGGTAATCGACCCCCACTTGCCCTGCCTGCAGAACAGCGTGCTTGGCCCCTGCGTTGATGCTCATGATGCCTTGCTTTGGGTTCCTTTCCTTTGGGTGTTGTGGGGTTCATTGATTTTTGGCTTGGATTTAAGCTTCCCTGATTCTTTTGTTTGGGTTTTTGTTTGCTCTCTCTCCTGGAAATAGTAGTACAATATAATTTCTAGCTTTTGCTTCTTATGTGGGGACTTGTTTCTCAGATTGAGTTTGCTTCTCTGCCCCATGCCACCATTTGACACATGAGCTCTTCACAATTCATTTCTCAATAATAATATCTGCACCCTGCACAATTCATTCTGCCTCAAGGCTGCCCCAGGCTGTAACAGGAAATAACATTGCAATCAGCATTCCCTTTGTCCCTTCTCCAGTTGTGCAAGCTGCCATCTGAAATGGAAGATACTGGTGAGTGCAGGTGGACCAGCTCTGATCCTTGGCCATGCCTGCAACAGGACAGGCTGCCCAGATGAACAGCACACCTGATCCTAAAAGCAGCCAGATGTGGAAAGGGCTTTGCCATGCTGGTGTGGTCTGGGAAGCAGCAAACTTGCTACAGTGAGCTTGCTTCTCAGCAGTGGATTTTAGAGCTGTGGAAAATGCAAACATGAGGCCCTCCAAAAGGGCTAAATGGTTTGAATCCTCCTGTGCCCATCTAAGATAAAACCCACACAGCCTCCTGGGCTGATGGTTAGTGGGGGAAAATGGCAATTGAAGTGAAATGGAATTGATTATTTGTGTTTTAACTTGGTTTCCTTGTTTTTTCTGCTGCCTTCTGATATTTCATCTGGTCAAATCTCTCCTTCTCCATCCATAGCTGCAGCACCCTGAACTCCCTGTGACAAACAGGTAGTTCAGCCCTGTTAGGATACATTCAGACTGTAAGCCATCAATCCATACCCTTATGCTCAGTGTTAACCATGGCCAGATTTATTGTCTTGCATCCTCTAGCCTTCTACATCATTTTTTACTTTGCTAATGAACTCTAACAAGTACTCTTGTCTAAAAAAATACTTTTCCTTTTTACACCAGGGTAAACAAATTATGATGCAGAAGAGACATCTTAGGCTGAGGATTGCTGAGCAATAAAGGAAACGTGATATGCTTAATGTTGGGTTTGATGCTTGTGATATTCCTGCATGTGCAGTCACATCTCCTCTGTGCATCATCTGGCAAGATGCCCTTTCAGGACATTGTTTTTCATAAAGCACTGTTGCTCTCTAGTGACTTCCAAGGGTTGTTTCCAAAATGTGTGTTTTTCTGTGGAAAACAAGAGCTCATATTAGAAAAAAAAAGATAAATTGCAATTGGCATGAAGACATAACTGAGTTACCGGTGATGGTTACCCTGGTGCAAAACTGTACTCAGGTTGGAGGGTGCTGGGTAGTCTTTTCCTTTGTATCTGAATTTTGACTAATGTACTTTGGATTTACTTCCACTGGAGCACACTTACTGAAAGGAAGGATACAGCAATGGGAGGTGGGGACTGACTGTCTTCTCTGTCATGTTGCAGTTAACCACGGTGGCAGAGAAGTCCAGGATCCTGCAGCTGGAGGAGGAGCTGAGCCTCAGGCGCAGCGAGGTGGATGAGCTTCGGCAGTGCCTCAGGAGCTCTCACCAAGCAGACACCCCAGAGCATAACCTTGGCTTGCAGTCAGAGGCTCTTCGTCTACGAGATCAACTGCTGTCTGCCAACAAGGAGCATCAGAAGGAGAGCAGCCAGCTAAAGGAGAAGTATGAGAAGACGTTAAAGAAGTACCAGCAGGAGATGGAGAAACTGAAATCTGTCAATGAGAAGTACTCACAGGAAATCGTTGACCTAAAGCATAAAGTTCAGCAAGCCACTAATGAGAACATGGGACTTATGGACAACTGGAAGTCCAAGTTGGACACGTTAGCTTCAGACCACCAGAAGTCTCTGGAGGACCTGAAAGCCACACTGAACACAGGCCCTGACACCCAGCACAAGGAGATTGTGGAACTGAAGGCAGTGGTGGAGAGTATAAAGATGGAGCACCAGCTTGAGTTGGAGAACCTTAAAGCAAAGCATGACATTGAGACAGCTGTTCATATAAAGGAGAAAGAGAGTCTCAAACTGAAGTTGCAAGAGGCTGTGGATGAAGTGGAAAAAAGCAACAGCAACTGGAAAATGCAACTGGAAACAAAAAGCAATCAGCACCTTCTTGAGCTCCAGGATGTGAAGGACAAGTGTCGAGATGCTGAGCTGAGGGTGCTTGAACTGGAGAAACTTCATGGTGAATATACGGATCAGACAGAAGCAATAGCTTTCTTAAAAGAGCAGATTTCTTTGGCTGAGAAGAAGATGTTGGACTATGAAACATTACAGAAAACAGAAGCCCAGAGCAAACAGGAGATCCACAGATTGCAGGAAAAAGTGCTTGTTTTAGAGAACAAGCTGCAGTCCATGGAGGCCCTGCATCCTTCTCAGCATGCAAATGTATGACTTCTGGGTCATTTTGCTTGTTTATCATCACCTTTAGTAACCCTTCCTAAGAGTAACCCTCAGGTGCTGTCTTATGTGGTTTTCTAAGGCTTTAATGCCTCAAAGTATGTGGATGTTTTTACCTTCCATTGATAGTGATTTTTCTGCACTGCATCTCCATGCTGAAGGTGTCTCCCGCTCTGGAAAACCAGTACAGTGGCACAGTTGTTTAAGTACAAGTGGGCCACATCTGGGCTTAGAGGCACATGACTGCTGCAGCAGCAGAATAGGTTTATTGTGGTTGTGAGGGATGGGCTCTCATCCTAAGCAAGCTCTGTTCTGAGCTGAAAAAGCATCATTTCTACAATACTGCTGTCCTCCATGTAGCAGCCTTAACGTATTGTTGAGCAACGGCCCTTAGGGAGGTAGGTGGAGGGCAGGGTGAAAGAAGAGCCATTGCCCAGGCTGAGATAGAGCATGTAGCTTGCTCAGGATGTGGAGCATGGTTTGAGAGCCTTGGTTAGGGGGATGAGCAGATAGGGTTGGGTGGGAGGTGTGTGCCAGCAATGCAGCAGAGGCCATGGGGAGGTTTTGCAGCACATGGGAGACACAGGGAAATGCTGGCTTTGAGGATTATAGTGGCAGAGCTGCTAGCAGGGGTCAGGATGGCACCAGTGTGGGGAAGTAAGGGACATGTGGCTCACTTTGCATTAGAGTGGGGGGGAGATGGCTACTCATGCATCTAGGCTGGACCCCTGTTTGTGTTTGGACTTTGCATAAGAAATGGGCAAAAAACTCAACTTTTACAATTTGTTCCTGTGGGGATGCAGAAAATGAAACTAAAGCCAGGAAGTGTGCACGTTAAGAATACTCATTTGAAATCTATTGCTGATGATGCAGTCACTGTTCCAGACTGAGGTGCCACTGAAGTGAATCTAATCCTTCTGTTTAATTTGCCAGTGTGAACAGCCCCATTGAAGTCGATTGCACTTCTAGGCAGCAAAGCCAAGCCCATGAATTAATTTGCCAAGTCAGAGCTTCCTGCCAGCAGAAAGACATGCTGAACTGGACAGGAGAGGCAAAAGCCCAAGGAGGAATCTACAGCATTTATGGTGTTTCAAGGGTGGCTCCACCATGCTTCATCTAGTAAAGACAATTGTGAACCATAAGTGCAGCCAGGGCCCTGGGAAAAGTGGGTTGTTATTGTAACATATCATATGTTATAGCCAGTATTGAACCAGGAATGAATGTTAAAAGCTGGAGGCTTGTTCCAGAGCCCTTTAGATAAATGAGAGGGCTCTGGGGGATATTGATAACCAGATTAGAACCAGGGAGTGTTGCAATAATTATTTCAACTATGTGTTGATTTAGAATCAGGAAAATGTGGGAAGAAATGCATGGGTGCATGAGTGTCACAGGGCAAATTCTGTTGTTAAATGTCTTTTAATGTAACTGCAGTGTTAACTATTCGAAGTATTTCAAACATGTCTTGTGATGGTCTTTCCTAGACCTTCAAGTGGGAATTGCAGCTGCACTTCCAAAGAGCAATTACATAGTTTTTCCATAATAAAAGAACATCAGGAGGCATATTTCCCCTTTGGATGGACTCCTGCTCCTGTTGCCTACTCAAGCTCTTGGGGACTGACCTCAGGGCTTCCGGTGGTGGTGGCCACATCAACTGCTTCATCTGGGGCATGTGCTGAGGTCCCACTGAAAGCTGCTGGATGTGAAGAGGTTTCAGGGGCCGAATTGTGGCCTCTGCAATGGAAAGTTTGGCTGTGAGCTCTGCAGGCTCTGACTTTTCATTGCAGTATAGACAAAAGAGGATGGGGGAAAGGCAGAATCTCCTGTATGGACCAACATTTGCTTTTTATTGTTTTTATTAATGTATTAATTCTCCAATAATTATTAATATTTTGGTACTGTTTTCATAAGTTTAGGCACAGTTAGATTGTTCAGAAGTTGAGGAGCTTGTTGACTGGGTCTCAAGCGGAATGCTAAAGAGCACTTGCACTGTGATTAACCACAGGAGACTGGTAGCTGAAGGAGAGCAGCTCTTTCATTGCTCTACACAAACTCTGAGTGTGTGAAAGCTGGAAGCAGAGCTTGTGGGGAAAGCCCACAAGCTTTCTCTCTTCCCTCCTGGGTGAATCTCACTTTTGTGCTCATCTGCATGTGGTTTGGGGAAATCTCAGGTGATACCATTTAGCTTTTTCAGTACTGTCCAGAGTGACTCCTCAAAAGCCTTTTTCCCCTCTCGGAAAGATGTAAAAGATGGTAATTTAAGTACTGGATACAGTTCTGCTTTGAGTGAGGCTTTGTAGTTAACTTTGTTTTGAATCTTTGAGTAAAGGGCTCTTTACATCTCATCTTTTACTTTTATTTCAGATGATTGAAACTAATGATATTTCAGAAGAAAAGATAAAGATGAAGCAGACTATGGAAGGTATGAAATTTTATTGCTTTTTATCCTGGAACACTGTTTTAATGACTCATATGCCTTCCCTTCCTCTAACTCTGCTGTAGGGAAGTAGGGAAGGCTGTGTGGATGTGGCTTAGGAAGCTGGGTTCATCCTCAGATTTTGTTGCATGGCATTTGTTGTTTGATAACAAAAAAGTGCTCCAAGTTCCTTTCCCTGTTTTATTCCTCCTGCCCCTGTGCTTGCTTTCTAAAACCTATCTGATATGGCTTTACAACTGTCATACCTTCTAATGTCTGGAGGTAGTGAGATGCAGTGAGAAACACCCGTTATCTGTCTCCTGATGCTCCTTTGCTAATGGAGGGTATCACGGCTGTACCCCTGTCGCACCCTGCCCCGTATGCTGGATCCCTTCCTGATTTGCATGAAGCTTTTTCTAAGATTCTGATCTTTGTCTTGTCTCTTCGTTCTCCTGCAGACCTCCAAGACAAGCTGAGCAAAAGAGACAAAGAGGTGTCATCACTGGTGTCCCAGACTGAAACTCTAAGGGCCCAAGTAAGTGGTAAGTTTCCCTAATCCAGTGCTGGTGGGAAATAGGTGCTTCCCTGCCTGTCCTCTGTACCGGTATTGAACAAGGGTCTGGGTGCTGAGATGGGCTGATGTAAACCAGGACATTTCCTGTCTTAATGCACATTGTTGGTAAAAGTTTGTTCAGCAGTTCCAGTCTCTTTTCAGGAGTTGAGCACAAACACTGCAGAAGGTATTTGTATCTTGTGAAGGGAGTGTTTGGGTTTATTGAACGTCAGAAACTAAAAGAGGCAGAGGTAAATGGAGCTGGGTGTGTTGTTTCCAAGATCTCCCCTTAATTAGGGCCAGAGCTAACCACATCTTATGAGTGGTAATTGAGAAAAGGCCAAAAGCAGGAATGCAAGTAAAGGACTGAGACCTTCCCCTCTGCTTCTCATAGCTTTGGAAAGCAAATGCAAAACAGCAGAAAAGAAGACTGATACAGTGTTAAAAGAAAAGAAACGTCTGGAAAGTGAACTGGAAGCCTTGACCAAGAAAACACATGATGCTTCGGGGCAACTAGTCCTCATTAGCCAGGAGCTACTTAAGAAGGAAAGGTCAGTGTGCAGGTCTGAAGGACAGAGCTGGAGACAGGTGGCCCTGTGTGTGTGTGTGTGTGTTCATTCCAGGTGCTGTGATTTACCACCAAAAGAAACCTGGACATTGAATCATTGAAGTCCAGCCCCCAACCTTCCTGTTCTTTAGAGATGCTTATTTTGGGAATCTGGTTAAAATTAGGGGCTGTGAATTAACCAAGGAGCTGCCCTTTCACTGCTTGCCAGGAGCTGTAAGACAGTTCAGTGCACATGTAGATGCTGAATGAAGTCATTTTCATGCCAACTAAGCTGGCTGCTGCCCTGCTCTGAAATACAGTTCCTTGGGCAAGTCCCAGTCTCTAAAGCTGTCACAGTGGGGAGGACAAGAGATCTGAAGTGATGGGATTTGAGTCACATTTGCTCACTGGCCTTTATTTGTATCTGTAGCAAAGGTGAGAAGGAGCACAGCAGGACACCAGTGTGTGTGAGCTCTGGAAATATCCTCACCTTTCCTTTCCGCTTCTTCCAGGAGCCTGAACGAGCTGAGAGCACTGTTGCTGGAGGCAAACCGGCACTCACCTGGGCCAGAACGGGACCTGAGCCGGGAAGTGCACAAAGCTGAGTGGCGGCTGAAGGAGCAGAAGCTCAAAGATGACATCAAGGGCCTGCGAGAGAAACTGGTTGTGCTGGTGAGGACACCAAAACCCCTCCTGGCCTTGGCTTGCAGGCTGGAGGGCTTTGTGCTGCTACTGGGGGTAGTCTTCACCCTTACTCCAAGTCTTCATGCTTGCTTTTGTGCTGCTGAGCATCTGGCAGGACCTTAGTTGACAGCGCCTGTGAGATTGGACCTGGCTTAGCAGTGACTCATTAAGTAGTAAAAATGTCCTTGTGTCCTTCTCCAGTGTTTTTCTGTTCTCATAGGTTTTAGATCCATGGCTAATTAAGGCTAAAATTTGTGGGAGAGAGTGAAGGTCAGCCACCCCACACTGTTTTACACATTCTGTTCTAGGCATAAGCAATGTCCTCCAATTCCTGTGTACTTCAGTGTCCTCCAGTGGTTGAAATGTGAATAATTCATTTGAACTCTGCTGGGAACGAATTAGAACTGCTGCTTGTACAGTTGCCTTCAGAATTGTGCTCTGACCCCATCTACTGTTGAAATCAAAACGCAGTTGTATGAGTTACTGTGGATTTCTTCTTTGCTTAGTTTCTGTAGTGATTTGGTTTAACCTGCTCTTATTTTCCCTTTGCTGTTTAAGGACAAGGAAAAATCGGTGTCAGATCAGCGGCGATACTCCCTGATCGACCCTTCTTCAGAGTCAGAGGTGATCCGGCTGCAGCACCGGCTGGTCAGCACGGAGGATGTGCTGCGCAACGCGCTGGAGCAGGGCCACCAGATGGAGAAACTCATGGAAGCAATGAGGCTCTCTTCTGAGAAAACACAGGTAGAGCATCAGCAGTCACTTCACAGGTTGCTCAGCCCTCAGGTCTGTCCTGAGCAACCTCCTGGGATCTTGCCCTATGCTGTGGAGGGTGATGCAGTCAGCTGAGACCCTTTCTTTCTGCTTGAAACAGCCTGGAAAGACTTTATTCTGTCAGATGTAGCTTAGAATGAAGAAAAGCCTCACTACTTGGTAATTATGGATCCTGTTGTGCTTTGCAAGAATGGTTGCTAAATGTGGTGTTTTGGGGAAGGTTGCAGCATAAGTTAACTGTTCTTTGTCTACAACATGTGGCTGCATATCCTTGAGGTACAGGCAATTTGTAACATGAAGGTTGAAGGTTTCTGCCATCCCTGTTCTCAGAAGGTTTTGTTTCCTTGCAACTCATAAGCAGAAACTTTGGAGGTGACTCTGGGAAAATTTTCCATTTCTCTTGCCAGCTCCTGAAGGCATTTCTGTATCTGATCTGGGTTTGCTGATGGACCATGAATGATCCCATTCCAGTTACTGCCTTCTCTTCTCAGCTTCCTCTGGTCTCCCTTTGTTTCTTCTGACAAAAGCAAAAGTGCTTCCGTCCTTTGTCTTGCATCCTTCTTTGTGAAACTGAAGGCTGCAAATGGCTTGACTTTCCACATTTGCCTTTTTCCATCTCGTGTCTAAGCCCTGGTTGATTCCTCGTGCAAAGTGACCTGCCCCTTGTGCTAAGCTTTGTGCTTCATGTCCTTTATTGCTCTTCTAGCTGTGTCTTCTCTTGTGTCTGCAACCAGGTCATGGTTTTCAGAGCCCAGATGCACTAGTGCTCCTCACGTGCTTGCTCATTTAAATTCTTAGCTGAAAAATGTCTTTCTCTTGCAGTAATGAGCTACAATTCATATTCAAACAGACATGTTAGGATAGTACAAAACAAGCCACTAGTTAGAATGGGCAGAGAGCTTGTTTTCCCTGATGTAGGTGCAGATGTCTTGTAGTAGGTAATTGGGGTGGGGTGGGAAGGTGGTGGTGGTATCAAATCTAGTCCTCCCATGTCAGTGTCTTCTGCGCAGTTTGCAGATACACCAAATGGCTGTTTTGCATTACAGTAGTACTTGGAGTGAGACAGCCGGGAGGAGGGTGCATTGTAGACATTGCAGCCCTGAGAGCTCTGCTGGCTCAGCTGAGCATCTGTGTGTTGCAGACAAGTTGCTACATCCCGCAGTGCAGCAGAGGCAGCCGTCTGCCAGCTCCAGACAGGACAGCTGTAGTCGTGATGACAAGTTAGTGGCAGTCCAAGATGTACTATAATCCTGTTACTACTTCTGGAGTGACTTTAGCTCCTGCTGTAATTGCTATGTGTCAAGTGAAAGTGCATCCTGACAGCCTCATCCGCTGGAAGCTGCGGGGGGGGTGGGAAAAGTTTAGTCTCTGCTTTAATGCTCAGTCCCTTGAGGAAAAGGAAGTCTTCTGTTTCACATTCCTATCTCCAGAGGTGGTACAGGTGGTAATTATTTCTTCCCCAGCTGTAGAAGATAACTAATCTTCCATAAAGTGAGTTGGAGTGGACCTTATGAGGTCAGCTAATCTATCCCTGGTATTGCTTTGATACTTTCATGCTTAAATCTTAGAGATGTGACAAGATAGTATTATGCCTTCAACTACAAGCCATGGTACTGGGAGACAGCTGGGGGATTACTGCAGGAGGCAAGGCCTCAAACTTCTATTGATATCAGGGTTTTAAAGTGCCTAGTTACAAAGAAGTCTGGATCAAAGCTTCCCTAGTTTCAGTATGCTGTCTGTTCATCCTTTCTCTTATGAAGGGGAGTTGTTAACTGGGGGCTTTCAGGCTGAGCCTGAGGACATCGCTAGTTTAAAGAGATCCTGGTGCATTAGTCAGTGAATTGGTGGTTCTTCCCCAGGAGCCACATGTCTTCTGTAACCCATTCTGTATTACCTTCTGACCTCCTGTCTCCTCTCTGTCAGCAGCAGCTGTTGCCCAGGGATCTGCCTTGGCATCACTCTCCCTTTGTCTGTAAAGCCTTCACTTTGCAGCACTTTGCAGCTCTGTAATTACCACAAGCTGCTGCTTAGCAGCAGCCCTTAGCAAGGCACCACACTCTGCAGTCCTTGGTGTGCCTGGCTGGCCTTGGTGTTAGACAAAAGGAGGTGCAGGAGCTGGGGAAGCATAGTGGCACTGTCTTCATCTCATCCTCGAGTACTTGCTGCCTTGCTCTTTCCATGCCTGCAGCTGAAAAATATTTGTCATGTCATAAAGGAAAAGGATCTTTATCTTCTCCATGTCTTGGGAGACACAAGCTTTGCAGGAAGCGACAAGGATTTGGCACTTGAGCCTTTTCTTGGAGAACTGGCAGTGATTGCTCTGGGAGTTGTTTCATTTCATGTCAAGTGAATTGCACCACTTTTTTCATTATTGTGACCATGTACCGAGACCAAATTTCAAACCTGACTCCTAGTACCTGATAGATGCTTAGTGCAGTGATTGGGCGTGCTGCAGCCATGGTAGGCTCTGTTGCCTGAATCTCCTGTGGGGTGCATGCAGACCCTAGGGCTGAGTCACTACAGCAGCACTGTTGACATCCATCTGGGTAGTATTCACTGCCTGGTAAACTTTGGCAGTTCAGGCTTTCAAAGCAGAGTTCAGTTTGAATCTCTGCCTGCTTTTCCTGCCCAAACAAAACCTCTGTTCCATAGGATTGACTATTGCACCTTTGAGGTTACAGTAAGAAAAGATCCTGTGTAGCTGTGCCTCCTCTGATGATGGCTTTTAAATCTTGTTGTCTTGTCTCCCTATAATATCTGGTTTTGCTGCCATCAGCAATTCACCAATAACTGTGAATCTGGTTTCAAAGACTCAAACAACTGACATTTGCCATGCTGTGACTTCAGGCTGCAGCTTTCTTCTCTTGTTTGTGCTGGTTGTACTGTCATTTTGAAGCTGAAGGGCTCCATATTATCCTCCTAAAGACACACTATAAATGTTTAAAAGTTCTTGTGCATTCTGAAGATAGACCAGCCTGTCCTGGCTGCCAGACTTGTCCCCAGAGATGGGAAGCAGGGAATGGCAAATGTCCTTTTCAGTGCTGGGATGTTCACTGTGCTGTGTTTTGCAGCTAATGCTGCCCTTTGCTCAGGGTTTGTTTATTGAGATTTGAGAGTCAGAAGTAAAGAGTGGGTCTGTGTCCATGAGGACACTGGGGGATGTTTTGTAGCTCAAAAGGATGGAATCCAGCATGTGGGGACTGGGCCAGGGTGCAGAGGGCAGGAAGCTTCTTGCCAAAAGTGGGGTGGGATTTCTGCCTTCTCCTTTCCTTATGTGGAGTGGGCTGCTAAGGAAGGGATAGCAGTCTTGCCAGGTTTCAGAGCTTGTAGGCAAAACCACTGGGCTCTGTGTCCTTCAGCAAGTATTGTCCATTCTCCATTGCAGACTGGAAATTCTGGGTCTGCTAACGGGATTCACCAGCAGGATAAAGCCCACAAACAAGAGGTAAGTTGTAAGCAGAATGTCACTTAAAACAGTGACTGCTTCGTGTGATTTCTTGCCTGCTGTGCTGGGGACAGCTCTTGGATGGAGGCTGTTCTGCCAGCAAAGTTTGGCTGTGTCATTCCCACATCAAAAGCCAGTTCCCAAGCATATGATGGGAACATCACCATACTATAAAAAACACTTGAAGCCATCAGGAAGGTGCTGGTGAGATGCTCACTGAGGTGCAGTGGGTGCTTTTTCTGGGAGAAGCAATGAAAAGGGAGTTTCTCCTCAGTCTCCTGGGTTAGTGCCTGTACGGCTCTTCTGGCAGCCCCTGCTAGAAGCTACTTGGTCTTAGATCTCTGCCATCTGCTTTACATGGGTGGCATTTGTGGGATGTGCTGTTATGTTCTGCCAGTTTTCATGATGTAGGACAAGACTTGTAGCCTCAGACTTCATCTCCACGCAGGTAGGATGGCCAACCTGAGGAAGAGGAGGTGTGACTTACTGAGCAGAGGCATGGCAGGCCTGGTGGCATTCCACTCCGTGCCTCAGTTTCCTCTTCTGTAGAAATACCTCTGTGCTTGCCCTCATTCTGCCTAACAAGGTCTCTTTTCTTCCAGGAGAAGCTCTGATAGAGAAGAGGTGAAGAGGATCATTTCATGCCAATATCAGCTCCTGTGCACTGTCAGGAAAAATGGTACCACATTTGGCTTTAGCACCTCCAAAAGACCAGACACAGTATTTTCACTTTAAAGCAGGACAGTGTTTATAATACACTAACTGATGTAGTCAGGACAATCCTGCAGTCCAGTTTTCCAAGACAGCCATTGTTCCGGGGGGAGCAGAAAGGTTTCTCAACATTTGGTTTCTTACTTGTATTGGTTTTGACTATGGAATTTGTATTGCTGTTGTCCCACCAGCTGACCTGGTCTGGATGATGGCTGCCCCAAATGGTGGCTGAAGTGTCAGCAAGTCCCAGTATCCCACAAGAACTCCAAAAGGATTTGCTTGTGGTGTTTGATGCTTCTCACATGGTCTGTCTCTTCCCTTCCACACATCCCACTGTCTTGAAGACCTGCACAAGCAAGTGAAACCTGCTGGGCTGACTGTTCATGCTGGCACGTGTAGGCTGAGCAAGATGGGGTGTGTGGATGTGTTTCCCTTCAACTTGTAGAAGACATCAATGTTCTGGAGGCTGCACTTAGTACTTGTATCATAGCATGTCCTGGGAAATAATCTGATTTCAGGGGGATATTTGTTTTGTTTCTCACCCAGTGCTGTTTGGGGACAGGCAACCCCAGCTGTGGTTGGCATTTCTTCCTGCAGAGATCTCTGAGCAGGCCTGCCCATGCCCTGCCCCACAGCGAGGCTGAGCAGCCTGATCCCCATCACTTGTATGTGTTTTATTGGGCCTTCTTAGAGCACAGGACTCCACAGCTGCATCTCATCACTGGCCTGAGAGCTCCATGCTGGCTGCAGTCAGTGTGGGACGCATGCCCTGTGGAGATGGTTCCTTCCTTGCCCGTTTAATTTAACAGCTAATCAGGGATCGCCTGGCCTTTCTCTGGAGCTATCCTTGGCTCTGCATTATGATGTTCCAGTATGATGCCCATCCCCTTCTGCCAGGAATACAGAATGCTGAGGTGCTGCTCTGAGCATTCATGCAGCAGCAGCTGTCTGTATTGGATGGGTACAGCATTCCACTGTGTATGACCTGAGTACGAGTATTTGGAGCAGAAGGAATACAAGACTAGAGCTCACACAGCTCTTGTCTGTACATAGCAGTGTAGGCTCAGGTAAGGATCTCGTTCCTTCTTCTGAAGGCTCTACCCTTCTCTAACTTTGACCACAGCTCCCAAGGGACACTAGGGTGGAGGAAAGGGACAGTATGCTTTTAAAGGTGTGAGACTCCAGATTCACTGCTAAGTACCACAGGGAAGAATCACAGCAATATTTCACCAGGCTTTCTCTAGTTAGTGCCTGATTCCTTCAGTCTTCAGAAGCTCTTTTGTTGTGATGGGTTATCTGTGAAACAGGACAAGACAGAAGAGAGCACTGAGAGAGGAGATCTGAGCGTGACCGCAGGCAGATGAACATCACATCATGTCAGCTTCATTGCTTTTGCCTTCATTTCCTGTAAGGTTGTGCTACTTTGTCTTCATGGGTTGCTAGACTCTGGCTTCCTTGAAGGATGAGCAGCCAGAAGCAACCTGGGAAAGACATGGGCTTCATGACTGCAGTTCTACCACGAGGAGGATGTTGCTGAATCTGGGCTATGACACAGCACTGGACCCTGCTCACTTGATGCAGGATTGGTGATCTCCCTCCATGCAGAGGGAGGATGAGAGAGGAAGGTGACTTCAGGGGTGTAAAGCAGGACAGAAAGCGCAGCTTAAATCTTGTGCATGGCAGGGGGAGGCAAAACTGCCTTGCAGAACTGCTTCATCAGTTTTACTAATCACCAGGAAGATTGCCTAGCTCTGAGACTTCCCGAACGGATCACAGGGGTTATCTCCAAAATCTTCCTGGTCCATGTACTCCTCATCTCTTAAGCAATTCAGGAAAATCGCAGAGGGAGTGTTCACTGTTGCAGCCTGTGACAGGGAATACCTCTCTGGGAGCTGCTGGCTGTAAGAATTGTGGGCTGGTGTTTCCCAAAGCGCTGCTTTGCTTGGTCTCTGGTGTCTGCAGCTCTCTCTGGATTGAGTGGAGCTAAAGGAATGCTGCCCATCTCCGAGCCCAGGGCTTCCCAGGCACCTGCCAGTGGGAGAGCCCATTCTGCTTGGGAGCTTACTTTCCCTGGTAGGTCTTTTAGTGATTTGTGACCAGTTGCCTTCATCTATAGAGGGGAGATACCTGCATTTTCCACCTCCCTCAATGAACCTTTGGCTCTGCACAAGGCAGGATCCCCGGGGAGGACTTATGGGGACCATGTATTTAGTTCCATTAATCAGATCTGAAGTTGTCAGGTAACTTTCAAGCTGTAGGAGTCTCTGGCTCCTGTCTCCTCCCAGGGACCATCTCTTGTGTGTGGCTCAGACCTGTGGATCTTCCCAGTCAGTTCAGGTGACAATGTAGACTGGCAGCAGATGGGGCAGGGATGGTTTAAAGATAATGCAGATGGTCTTCTCTGGCTGTAAGTAGCTGTGCTGGTCCCTGAGGATCAGCCAGGAGCCAAGCACTTGCTTACGGCAGAGGCTGTTTGTGGGCCTTGCATTGCAAGGCCACACCGAAATGGGCAGTGGGGCAAAGCCAGGGCCTCTGTATTCCACCCTGCTTTGGGGAGCTGCTCCCCAAACAGAACTGACTGCAGCATGAGCAGGACATGCTATCACACATCATCTGGGTTTTAGCTCAACCCTGTATAAAGTGGCCAGGTTTGAACATTATCCATGTTCTCCCTCTCCAGAATTGGCACAGGCCTCCCAAGGGCACCTGCCTCTAGCTGCCCTTCTGAGCTTGTAAGAGACCAAACTAGGGACAAACTTGGGAAGGACAAGGAGGAGATTCCCCGGCCCCTCTATTTATTTGTAAGTTTAAGTGCTATTTTTGCCTATGTGGTGGTGTATAAAGTACTTCACAGTATTTGGTCTTACTGGCTTGGTTCTTCAGGGGAGATTTTCAAGGGTGTTGGAGCACTGATGCACCCATCTCCTGTTGCTGGTCAGGAGCTGGTTCCTGTTTGTGCCTTCACTTCCCTTTGGCTTCAGCCTTGCTTTTATCTTGACCCCCAAGAGCTGGTACAGGGGCCTGGGGGGTGGTTGTGTTCTCCTCTCCCAGCCTGTGCATGCTGTGCTGGTGCTGCATCTGGAGCCGAGTCCTGACATCATGCCCCAGAGCACCAGCACAGGGTGGGGAGGAGGAGGCAGCGCATCTTTGGAGTCATCAGCACCAAGGGAAGGGCTGGCACCCACTGGGACACCAGCCATCACCCAGCTGTGGTACCCAACAGTTAGTGATGCTTTTCTGCTGAAAGCTGAGACATTATCCAGTGAACAAAGTCTTTGCCATGGAGACTGCTCCATCTTTAGTGTTTTTTTCTCTAACCCTCTAGACCAAAGGGAAAAGAATCAGTCTTGGCTGGTGATTTCAGCTTTATCCCTCCTATCCCTCCAGTGCTGGAGCAAGGGGCAGCACTGAGGCAGTGCTGAACGATGGGTGCAAAGCTACCAGCCAAGGCTCTGCAGCTCTTGCCTACTCCCAGCCACCAGCCCTTCCTCTGGCTTGCACTAGAGATGCATGAGGGTTTCATTCAAACAAAATGATGCAAATGACACTGTAAAAGTCTTAACAAAAATTCCAGTACTCTGTTGTTCGGCAGCTTTAGCAGCTCAGCACTATCTTGTAGGGAGTTATTAATACACTAAGATCCTATAGGCCTCATGTAAGTTACCATAATAAAGATGATACTAGATGTATAAATGGATGATAACCTTTTACCCGTACAGTATGTATTACAGTTTTGTAGTTTAGTCATTTTTTGGCTATCAGATTTTGTTAGTACGATATAAAACCAAAAGACAAAAAAAAAGGTTTGACTGCTAATGTCTATTTTGTTATTTGATTCACTTTATTTCTTCTTCTGTACAAAAGCTGTACAAACCTCAGTGTGTGTAACTATCCCACACGTGTATTCATGTACCACCCCCTGTCCTGGCTTGCTGGTGTGGTGAGCTCCTTACTAACCAATAAACTCTGTGGCTGCAGTCGGGCACCCTGGGGCTGCTGGGGTGTGTTCAGGGTGTTGTGCAGTGCCCAAGCCATGCTAAGAGGGAAGTGGATGGGATAAGGGGGGGCTTTGGTAGGTGCCCCTTGTCCTGGGCCCCAGCAGTGAGCTGGAGCCATCGGCACTGGGGTTCAGCTGCCAGCTGGGTTTGTAAACAGCCAAGCATCAGCTCCTTCCCCGGGGCTGCTGTTGGCTATCCCCTGAGCCATGGACTACAGTGCTGTTTATTCATCCATGACTATTTCTCCTCTGTTAATCTCCCCTGTCCCTCGCTGACACATTCACAACACCCCAAGGCAAGGGGTGCTGCAAAGTGCTGCCCTAGACCCACCTCCCTGTACCTCAAGAGAGGCACATACTCATTTGAGTGGTGCCATCTTGATTCTGCAAGACCAGAGGTGGCGACTGGGTCATCCTCATCCCTTCCAGCTCACTCACCACAGACCTTTAGAGCGCAGGGAATGTGTGATTGCTGTGGAGTGGTCCCAGGGCAAGCTGTGGTTGCTGCCAGCACCCTGTGCAGCCCAGCTCCTGCCTCTTTTCCCTATGTTCTCACCATGTACCTGCAGATGAGCATCATGGATTTGTGCTGTCCCCCACGGGCTGGACCAGGGGCATTTACTCCAGGGCTTTTTCATGGCACAGCATCTCCTCGTTGGAATTTCTTGGACTGCCCAAGGGCTGTGCCCTAGCTCAGCAGCCCCACACACAGCAATAAAGCATCCATGCTTCTTCCTGCTATGCTTTCCTGCACCTGTGGGCTGTACATAGATCCTTTGCTGAAAGGTGGTGGGTTCACAGCTGTCTTAAGATGCATGGAAAAAAAAGGATGGTTTTTTTTAACTTGCTTCCTGGCTGCTTCTTTTCCTGAACTTAAGCTTCTCCCCTGCCAGGATTACCTGGAAGTTTTAAACCCTTTCCAAAGAACCGATACAGTACGCAGATGATGAGTTGATTCCAGCATGGGGCCCCAGGTGCTGGACGATAACACCATGGAAGCTGGGCATACAGCTGTATTTCAGAGATGTAGCATGGTCTGTACAGTGTGGTCTGTGGTACCCTGCTCTTATTTTCTCAAGGTGTATAGGAGTTGCTGTGAACCCCAGATCTCTCAAAGCGTTCTGTTTGTCCACCAGCTCCCTGTGCACTGCAGGCGCTCGCAGCTCCTCACGTAGCTGGGTAAGAACAGTGGCTCCCTGGGTCACCGCGCTGCTGATTCCTAGAGCTGCTGCCAGTGCTTCACTGTCCTCCAGCGGCTGGAAGGAGAATAATTGGTTTGAGCTTTGCTTGGGAGAAATCTCTGGACACAGGACTGTCCATCTGGGGCCAGCCCAGCATCCGAGCTGATGCACTCAGTATTTGCCTTGCTCTTCACTTCCCAAGGCTGGTGCTTGCTCACGCCAGGTCTGAAGATGCTGTGGCTGGGCAGGGATGGGATCGTGGCCCAGGGCCATGGCTCCTGTGTGTGATCCCACTGTCATGGCTCGGCCCTGGTCTGATGCACTGGTTCAGGGAGGTTTGTCACCCTCTGCTCCATTGGTGCCAGGGCACCAGTAAGGGAAGGATTGCTCCAGCGTAGCTCTTGGGCTGTCCCCACGCTGACAGCAGGGTCACCAAGCAAGTCCCCTTTTGTGGCCAGAAGTCATGGAGGGAGATGTCCCCCAAACCTCCCTGTTTATGGGGGCAGGAGCCTTTATCCATGTGGTGAATTTCCCACTGAACCCTTCCCAGGGTTCTGGGCAGGAGCTGCTTACTCAGGGCAGGAAGCAAAGGCCATGAACATCATGTCCCTGCTCAGGGCAGATGACTCCAGCTCCATCTTTTCTGTAGCTCCACACTATCATTCATTAAGGTGCATATTTACAATCAAGTGCCCAAGCCCTGGTATCTCACAGAGATAACGCCGTAGCACATGCCTTTGTTTGCAGACATTGCTGTTAATTGTACAGCGAGGATTAATAAAACATGAAGTTGAAAGATGCCTAAATCACAGGGGGGGAGCTGGTAATCTCTGCCAACAATAATATTTGCACTTTATTTTCATCCCAGCATCCAGCCAAGAGTGGAGCCCGGGCTGCAGAGCAGGACCACTGCATGTGAATGGATGGGGTGAGGATGGAGCAGGGATCTTGACCCGCTGCTTGGGCTCAGAAGAGGTGATGGGTGGGATATCCATCCTCATCTGTGTTAGGGACCTCATTCCCTGGGATGTTGTGTTTGTGCCTGGAGCTGGATGGGTGCTTCAGGGGTGGGTTTAATCCAGGGATGAGGGAGGGATGAGCCATGCAGTGCATGGGGACACACACAGAGGTGACATCTCTGTAGGGATGTGGCTGCCCTGTTCTAACCACCATCCTCCTGCTGGACCTGCCTCTCAAGGGCACATCCCTGTGGGATGTTCCCTGTGGATGGGGTGGATGTACCAGCTCTATGCTTGGTGCTGGGAGACCTGTGAGCCACCAAAGATGCTATTTGGCTTTTATAGGGGCTGCTCATGTCCCCTCCCTCCTGCAGCCCCAGTGCCAAAGAGCTCAGCAGCCCCAGGGCTGGAATCAGGGCTGGGAATGTGCTGCTTCCCCAGCAAGGCTGTTTCCTCCCCATCCCTTTGCTGCCTAACAAGCATCCTTGTCAAAATAGCTAATTTCCTTCCAGAACAAAAAGTCACCTGAATACATTTGGAAGCTGTATTGCACTATCAGGGTAATCAGAATTTAATTTGATGCAGTCAAGGCTCTAAAAAGATGTTATCAAGGGGAACATCAAAGCTGGATTCCTGCGCTTGGAAAGGCAACTGGAATGCTTAGTCCAGAGTTCTCATTTTATCGGAGACTTTCAAAATATCAGTCTAAATAACAAAAAATGAATATTAAGAGTATTTGCAAATTAATGTCTTTTGTAGCTGAACAAAGGCTCCTTCTTTTGCATGTCTGGGACAGTCTCTTATTAAATCCCACTAATTATACAATTTTGTTGTGTCTCATCATTTCTGCGCTTGCAGGAATTGAAACTGAAGCTCTTTGCCCCCCTTTGTTGCACCACGCTGCTCCGCAGGGGCCTGATCCTGCAAAGTGGGGCTGCTCCCACTCACCACAGGGAGGTCCCATGGGTACAGGGGCAGAGAGAAGGTGGGATGGGGACCTCGGTTGCTCTTTCTCTCCTGGGTCTGTTATGCCCGTGGGGCTTTGCATCGTTCCAGCTCTTGAGATAGCTGAGGAAAAGCTCCAGCTCGTACTAGTGAATGTACTTGTGCGATCATTTCAGGGTTTGCTTCTAAAGTACAACGTCAGAAGGCAGAAAAGTGTCTTAGGCCTTTTGGGCACCAAGAAGGTGGAAAATGTGACCAAAAAGTGACCTTGGAGATGGGGTGCCCCTTCTGGGGGAGGTTTTATTTGACCTGTGGGCCATGGCTGTATAACCTTGACCATATTCCCTTCAAACACCATGATTTCCATGCCAGGCTCCGTCTGTTTTGCCACCCAGCATGTGACAGACCGGCTGGGGCCATGGTGATGCACAGCATCCCCTGCCCATTGACCCGGTATCTTCCCTTAGCTCCTATTTCTGCAGAGCCCAATCCCAAACACTGTCATCCCCGCACACGTGGGACAGACCTGTCCCCTGGTTTAGCCCTTGGAAACGTGGCAGGGGAGCTTTGGGGGAGAAGGAGGTTCAGCCAACTTCGTTAGGGAAATAGCATGGATCTTGTGTTCAAACCTTTGAAGTGTTAATTAAAAAGAATTATGCAAAGGAGCGAGGGTTTGAAACATTCATTTGAATCTCAATAAGGCATCTGTATTAAAAATAGCAGCGGGATCAACTAAAGATACAGCAGTTTTGGAGCAAAACGGTCCCGGCATCCCTGGTGCTGTTGGGCAGCAGGTTTCTGCCTGCTCCCTGCCCCAGATGGGCACAGCAAGAGCCTGGGAAAACGCTTCTTGTCTAATGTTTAAAGACCTTCAAAGCATCTGGTTTAAGACAAGACCCAGTGGTGCTTTGCTGTAGCGCATGGGGAGGGAGAGAGGGCTGCATGGGCTGGGGAGGCGGCTGCAAGGCTGGCACTACCCCAGGGGCATCCAACATGGGGCACAAGGCACCCCGCAGCCCTCAAACCACCCTTTAGCACAGCCCTTGCCAGGGGAAAGCGAGGGGCTGCACGGCTGCAGCACAGCCCCTTCATTAAAACCCCCGGCATGTCCTGGCCCTCGCTCATTCCAATGAAAAGCATCCAGGGTATTAATTACCAGATCGGTGGATAACGCCGTTAAGTTTACTTTTGTGCTGCACAGACCCAGCGGGAATGTCAATGCCTCCTGCCCTTGGTGTGGTGCTGCAAGGGCACCTCGGTGGGTAGCACCACAGGGGCACCGAGACCCCCTGTCTGCAGAGAACTGGTGTTCTTGGCTCATTCCCAGTATGGATGTGAGGGGATGGGTCTTGCGGTGGGGATGGGTTTGCTGGGCAGTGAGCTGGGGGGCCTAAAGCAGCCTGGGCAGGGGATGGGGGTGAGGAGCTCTGCCAGGGGGACAGCCCATGGGAAAGGTGCTCATGGGCAAAGCTGGATGCTCCCTGTGAAATTGAGCATTGATTTCAGTGCTGGGGCTGTCACCTCAACTGCAGGTTTGGTTAAACACGGGTGAGCATCAGCTTGACCTTGGGCAGGGCCCAGGGGCAGTGGTCCCTTGTCCCCTGCTGGCTGGAAGAGGTGATGCTTTCAGCCAAAACTGCCTCAGGGATAACCCCGGTGCCTGCCTTCCTGTGCTAGGGAGTGGGATTTTCATGAATGGAGCTTCCGCATTCCCACTGGGATGCCTGAAGTCTGCAGAAAGGACACTAGGACCAAGGGTTGGGCTTTTGGACCTCTCTAGGGATGCTGCTGGTACCTGTTGCATCCTTCCTGCCCACACGGGTGCCTGAAGGATTCCCCATCCCTTGCAGTGATGACCCAACACCAACCCTGGAGATGATGAGTGCTTAGGAAAGGGTCTTTCCTCCTACCAGATGACATGGAGCTGGGAAGGATGGGAAGGTCAGAAAGGGGAAATCTCCCCACTCTGCTCCCCACTCTGCTGTCTGGTGGCTCCTGTTTGGGAGCGCCTCACCTGGCTCCCATCAGCATGGAAATCACTCAAGATTCACACGCAAGACAGCTGGAAAAGCATCTTACCTGTTGCACTGGAGCAAACTGCTTTTGCAGCGCAGCATTGCAAGGATGGCACAACTGCAAGCAGGTGGCACAAAACTAGATGTGTTCCATGCAGATAGGCAGAGTAAATACTCCCTGTAAGCCAGTGCTGTGCCCTGGCAGGGAATGGAGACAGAGGTGAGGGGTTTTGATCTTTCTACAAATATGTTTGGGACCAATAGATACCAGCCTGGGTTTTGCAGAGGATCCTTTACAGTTTCACTCAATAGCATGTATCTTGCAAGAGAATTAATAGTACCTTGGGCTGCCTCTGTGCATGGCTCTCCCCATAGTAGCTGGTTTGGGGACAGGATGGATTCTGCCCTGTGAGGGTGCTGAGGCACTGGCACAGGGTGCCCAGAGGAGCTGTGGCTGCCCCATCCCTGGCAGTGTTCAAGGCCTGGTTGGACACAGGGGCTTGGAGCAAGCTGCTCTAGTGGAAGGTGTCCCTGCCCGTGGCAGGGGTTGGAGCTGGAGGAGCTTTAAGGTCCCTTCCAACCCAAACCACTCTGAATACAGCTCCAAGCCCATCCGTGCACACAACGTGCTGTTCTTATGAGTGTAAGCAATGGTGCCTCCCACCCAGGGCCGGAGACCCCAGGACTTGCTCCTCTGGCCTTTTCCTTGTGTGGTTTTTGTGTCTCTCAGCCCTGCTCCAGGTGATGCCAGCTCCCTGCATCCAGCCGCGAGGTGCCGGTTGTGGGGGGGCTGCCAGAAACGTCCCACGCTTTGATCCATAATTTAAAACCATTTTGTTTTGCCTTGCTTGTTTTAACCCGCGATTTGCTGCGGCAGAGGAACACAAACCCCCTTCAGGACAGAAGAAACCACCTCATTATTTCAATTACATCCCCCCTGACCTTACTAGAACTTTTTTCCTCCTCCTCGCTTCTAAAGCAGCGACTTTTCTGTCTTTTCTTCATTCTTATGATCTCCAACTCCGCCGGGAGACAGCAGCAATCAGCACATCAGAGCACCCAGCGGCTCCTGTGATGCCCAGCAGTCACTAATTAACAAATTAAAAAGAGAAATCTTCCTGCAGATAGGATTGTTCTCTGCCGATGTTGCCTTTTCTTTTGTCAGCGCTGTGACAAGGAACTTCTTTATTGCTGCAGATAGAGCAGATTAAACCGTCCCTCTCGTGCTGTTCACTACTTGCACGGGTTTGTGCCGCTTATTGGTTTGGCCCCCAAATAAAGTGTTTTGCCCCCCACTTTTATCCTGCTCTGTTGGGTTCCTGCACAGATGTGACAAAAAAGTGTTTAAGCCATCGCATCACCCCCTGCCTGGACCAGGTATCCTTTAATAGAATCATAGAGGGTTGGAAAGGACTTTAAGATAATCTGGTTCCACCCCCCAATAATAAGCATGCGCATCCTCAGAGGATGGGGGGTTCAGGAGGGCTGAGTGGACCCAGCTCCAGTGGAACATCTGGAGAACATCTTGGGTGCCACCACATGTTCCAGCTCCTGCCTGAAGCCCATAGTCCCATGTGTAGATGGCACCAAAGCAGAGGCTCTGCTGGCAGCAGGGGGACTGAGCTCTCTGTTCACACATCGGTGACCAAAGGTGCACCTGAGGGTCTTCAACCTTATTTTGGTTCATGGTCCCCAGCAGTGACCCCAAAACCAGCCACAGGGCTGGCCCCATGGAGGGCAGGTTTGGGGAGCAGGAGCAACAAGCCTGACCTCAGCACGTCCACAGGCAGGACCCAAAACCTCTGCCCACCACAATGGGCACGCGGAGCACAGAGCAATGGACACACACGGACACAGGAGCTGGGTGTCAGACCAAAGCACACTTTTCCCTCACTTCTTTCAGGCTGCATCGGTTTCCTGGGTCAGGGGCCATGGTGTTGGGATGGCAGCATCCTCTGGAGGTGATGGAGAGCTACGGGAAGAGCAGGACAGCAAAGCCTGCACAGAAACCCACCGTCCTGCTCCAGCAGCTCCCCCTTGTTCAGCTCCTCTGCTCAGGTGACCTAGTGCAATTAATGTTAGTGGGTGGGAGCTTATCGATAATTAGCCAAAAGCTGCCCTCATTTCCTTCTTCCACTTGAGATCTTCCATAGAGGGACGATTCTGCCCCACAGAGCCCCATCCCCTTAACCCCATCTTTCATGGGGTTTGCTGGGACCCCCACACAGCCTGCTCTACCAGCACAATGGGTTTGCCAGGCCTGATGACACGGGGAGGGATGCAGGGGGGGATGCCAGGTGTTTGCATGGGGCTTGGCAGGGCCAAAAAGCCCCTTTCCCATTCTTCCAGAAACTGGGAAAAAGTAGTGTTTTCTCTGAAAGCGGTTTCTCCTCCCCTGGCCCTGGAGCAGTGATAAATCATCACTTATTTAAAACAAACCCCAGCTAATGGAGCAGCTGCATAATGTGTGCTTCAAAAGCAAAGCCGTCAGCAGTTCCTAAACTTCGGAGGTTCAAATGCTGCCGAGTTATTGTTAATAGTTTTTCATTTGTTTGAATCTGCCATTCCTTCATTTGCAGCGAGGAACTCGGGAAACAGACATTCCCTCTTCCCAGCTCCGCTCTTCCCAATGGCAAGAGCAGCCTCGGCCTCTGTGCCACCGGGATGGGGATGGTGGCAGTGCCAGTGGGGTGGATGGGAGCTGCCAGTGCCTGGCTCTGGTGATGGGGATGTGCCATGTGCTGAATGTGCCAGGATGGGCTGTGCAGGGACAAGCTGTGCCATGCAGTGCCAGGCCATGTCCTGGCTGTGCCATGCCAAGGCCAGGCATGCCAACCTGCAGTGTACCAAGTGGTGCTGTGCCAT